AATGAAAAAGAAAAATATAAAGAAACAAAGCTGAATAGAAAGGGAAAGAAGTACGTGGAACACAAGGCATCGGAGCAATGAGATGAGAACTTGCATGGATTTGATACTATCAAATAAACAAAAGATTAGGTTTTCAACCTAAGCATTTGTTATATTGTATAGGTTTCAAATTTTCACATGGGGACAATTTATTATATTGTATAGCTAATTCTTTTCCTGTACATTTATTAATATATATATATATATGTTGAAAAAAAATTAATTTGACAAATATATTTATAACACACTAAATAACTAATTGATCAGTTGACATGTTTGAGTCTTCTACACACCATGAATAGTACACTAAATAAATAATATATATGTATTCTTAATTGAAATTGGCTATCAACTTCAACTAAGGTACACTATATATAAAATCACCGAACTCTGTACAATAATATTTGGTTATTGTTTTTCTATATTAAAATAAAGAAAAGTATGGGCATTTAAGTGTTGGCAACTCTAGTTGTAGCGAAAGACATGTGATCGTGCAAGTACGTACTTTGGTTTACATATCTTTATACTCGTCCGTAATCCCCTTGCAACGGAATCAATTTATGTCAAAACGGGTACATAAATATACTAACGGCCATACTATTTTTTTTCTTTGATTTATATATAAATTAGTTGTAATAAAATTGGAAGTTTCAGTAGAGACAACATCTGAAGAAGAGTGTAAAGGGGTAAAGAGAAACTGGACACTTGTATTGATTAGTAGAGTTGTGTCTAAATAAAAACACAAGATGGAGACAACGTAGGGCAATGTTATAGTCCCTACCCTATTTATAAGACCTTCCTATTTTATATGCATTCTTTCAATATTTTCTCCCTCTCTTCCTTATGGATTTGTCTCTAAATTTGCCCTTGTTTCCTACATCCCACATGATATTTGCTTTCACACTCTTTCACACTAACATAACAGTACTATTTTAAATCTATGTTAATAATTTACTTTGATGAATTGATATTGTGGTATAGGCAAAATTTGGTTAGTCCTGAGTTCAATTCTTTGAAGCAAAATAATACTTATCTTGGACACCAGTTTATTACTCTGGGCCATATAACCAGACTGGGCTTGTATTAAAAGAGTAAAAACAAAAAAAAACCATAGAAATAGTTGGATTTTAATGAAATTTAATGTACCAATAAAAAAAGTATTCTGTGTTTGATGAGATTTAAATTTATATTTTTACGCGGATTGTACATGTTAACGGGGGTTTGCTTTGCATTAATATGATTGATCATACCAAGGAAAACACTTCATGTGTTTCTGCATGAATTAGTCGTTAATGTGTATATAATACATATAACCTAGTCACAAATCTTCTGAAAAGTCATAAGTAAACCTAAAAAATCTATGTAAAAAAAGTATATAAGATTTTTTCTGATTAATTTAATAAAAAGACTTCTAGTTTTCTCTCTCATTGTGCCCTTATATACCCCTTCCTCCCCACCACCTTCACATCCACACCTTTCTTCAAACATACCGAACTCTCTCTCTCTCTCTCTTGCTCTTGCTATCTCTCTCTCTCTCTCTCTCTCTCTCTCTCTCTCTCTAGCCAAATTAGGTATCAATAAGCTCAAATCATGGCGATAAAGAAGTCGAACAAAGTGGCAGCCTCTCAAGCAGCAACTATTAAGAAAATCTTGAAAAGATGCTCAAGTCTTGGAAAGAAGAATCAAGGCAATTGCTACTTCAACGATGTGCCAAAAGGTCACTTCCCGGTCTACGTTGGTCAACACCGGAGTCGCTATGTGGTTCCAATCTCATGGCTAGCTCATCTTGAGTTTCAGACACTTCTCCAACTAGCCGAGGAAGAGTTTGGGTTCGAGCACGACATGGGTCTCACTATCCCTTGTGATGAAGCCGTCTTTCGATCTCTCATCTCCATGTTCAGATAGAACTCGGTTTCGAGAGAGTCTGATTTAGATCAATGCATGGGTCATCTCTCGAGATTTTGATCCCCTTTAAGGTTCTTAATTAAGGGTTTGATCACATCGTCACACTCTAGACTCGGAAGATCAAAACATGAAAGCATCAAAGTATTATCAAGAAAATCAAGAAACGATAAATAAGGAATATATAAATTTATATATTATTATCTATAGGTTTTTTTCTTTGCTAAGAAGGCGGAAGCAAATGGCGGGGATCGCGTTATGCATCGACTCAAGATTTGTGGCTATATTAATATAGCTAACAGTTTTTAATTTAACAACTCTCTTGGGGAATTTTTTTACTTTCTTATATATATTTTTGGTGTATTGCTTCTACTTATTCTGAATATTTAATTTGTATATTAGTTTGGGTGGGCGACTTTTCCCTTAAGTCAACGTGCATTGTTGACCGTTGGTTCTTGAGAGGAATAGCTAGTTTATTTGTATTAATTTTAAATAAAGAAAATTTATTTATTTTCAGTACTGAGTTTGTTTATTTTCTGTTTATAAGATATATGAATTTTCTATTCATCCTTCGAAAATGGAAATATATATTACAAAAGAATGATTGATTAAAAATCCAGCATTTTTTATGAACCCTTTCCCTACTGATGATATACTATCAGACAAAATTTTGACGGTCTATCAACCATATTTGGCCAAACATCAACGATTTACCATATGTGGTTCCAATCGTGTTACTACTACATCTGACGAAGCGTAATTATCGGTTCCACAACTCAATTGTCACGGAGCCTCATGAGAACCACAAATGAATATGCGCAGATGTAATCCATGACCAGCAATCGAACATCATCAACAGACTCTTTGATCTAATATTCTAATCCATATTTATCTCCAAAGCACTCTCTTCGTGATGTTTTTTTTTTTTTTGGATTCGGTTTATCAGCTATAGCCTATAGAGATCGAAGTATTCTGTTCAATAGGATACAGTCTTGGTTTCGATTTTTAATTTGGTTTATTATAAGAATGTATTTCATTAAGATTTTTAGAATATGAGTTTTATGATTGTTTAGGTGATTCGGTTATCTTTTGTGTGTGTTCATTTGTTTTATTGGTTAAATCGGATAGCTTAGGTTATGGACTGTTTTTTTTCCTGGACACATTATTCTTTTACCGTTGCAAAATCGTATAACGGTTGCATATACACAAAATTAGTGTAGATGTCGATCTAGAATTTTTTTTGGGATGAACAAAACTTAATACTATCATAAGAAAACAATAAACATGATCCAAAATGTATAGACGTAGTAGTTTCTGTTAGAGTAGGGTTGAACAATTTATATTGAGTCGTTTTCATGATTAATCATATGTTCCATTTGTCTCGTGCTTTTTGCTTTACTAATTTCAATCATAAAACTCATATATTCATGGCCGCCTTCAAGATTTGTCAATACGTATGAGCATTATTTGGCGGTTGAAATGAGCATGACAGTGAAATAGATATGCTTTTACGCTCCTTCGGGTAAAATGACATCACCATGTTTATATTTTTCCATCATAGGTAAATCCTGTCAAGATCGTATCGACATATATATATGTGAGTAGATGTGGAACGTCGTATACATAATTGAATCTCTACTTAAATACTTGAGAGAGACTGTGTTTTGTTTTAAAACTTGTTTATTTTCGCTGAAATAATACCTAAAATATCTCACATAATATTGTTCGCTTTTGATCAGTATATATTATTTACAAAAGTTAGATAAATAAAGTAATAAACTATATAAGGGAGAGACAATATTTTGTAAAATTCACATTGTTATAAAAAAAAAAAATATCTAACACTTATCATTAGTACATCAATAATTTTCGATTTGTTTTTTTTTTCTCATTATATATGTTCACTCGATATTGTTTTTTGTTGAATTAATTATTTCATTTTAGATATTATGTTGAAACAAGTCGACAATGTGTGTGTCTGAGGATGCGTTTGGAGAGATGAGTTGTTGTTTGAAAGGCAGAACATGTAAGCCACAATGTCTCTCCTATCTTGACTCTTCTCTTTCTCTTCTTCTTCTTTTTTTTAATGTATTTTATAATCCAATAAACGCACACAGTTATCATGTATTCTGGTTTTAAATTAGAATGCCAGACGAAAAATTCCAATATCATATTTCGAAGAAAACAAATAAACGATTATTATTTTCAGTACAAAGAATTAAACAAACATTAAGAAGAAAAAAAATCATTTGTCTGTACAAACCCTGGCTTGCCCATACTCTCAAGTTGCTTTTGAGTTTATACCTTGTCTGCTTGACATTGATGAGCATTATCTGTTTTCTGTCCTTTTTCAAACTTCCTTTTCTAATTTTTCTATATTGAATAAATCCATTTAAATACTTACATTATTGTTTTTATGTTGCATGGACCTCACGTTCCTATTTTTATTCTGTCTAAAATATTCATATGAAATTTAAAATCAATGCTCTTTTGAAAAAAAAAACTAGCTTTATGTTTCTGGTAGAGTCATTTTCATTGAATTTCACATTCCACTTTTAAATCCTGCCAAGAGTGAAATCGAATCTCAAAATAGATCCAACAAAGACCCTTGATGTCGATATTTGCTCTACTTTTGAAGATTGTTGACATTAATAATTAAATTTTGATATTATGTCGTTTTATAGTTTTTGATTTAATCGGTAGAATGTCTTAAATTTTATTAAAACATCTAAGTTCTTCGTTATCATTTCAACTCTCAAGTATATCAAAATTTTCAAAGTCTTTACGGGAAAATCATTTGAGTAGTTCTTCATTGACCAAATAGAATTGTCACTTAGTAATCATTTTTTCCACCTACATACATTTATTATTATTTGACAAATATGAAATACCAATATGTACATCTTTATCAGACTGTTTTTTTTCATGATGCTCTTGAATTTTACACATTGAGATTTTATGTAGAAAGTACAAAAAATGGTTCTCGGTTCCGGTTCTCATAAATGTAATATACATAAACAAAATAAATAATTTGGTTTTGAAGAAAATTCCAATTTAGTCTCGGTTATAGACTTATAGTCCAGTTTAATTCAGTTTTCAGTTTATACTCAAACCGAGTTTTTAGAGGTCTTGTGTTGTGTAGAGTAAGTACAATAGACAAAGAGTGATCGTCACTAAAACTGTTCTCTTCTCACATACTCAAAACGCATATAGACATATACACATATCAAGAAGGAAGATGAAAATCAAACGAACAAGAAGATAACGAGTGTGTTATCCCCTAGTTTTTCTAACGTCCATTGTTCTTCGGTTTAGAGGAGAAGAAACGGCCTAATCCGCGCGTATGCTTCTCATTATCTTCTTTAGAAGATGAAGAAACAGAGCTAGACTTGATGATCGCATGGACCGTTGGATTCACCGTGTGTTTAAAAGAATGAGATTGTTGAATTATATGATCATGGGGAAGATCACCAAGTGCAGAGTTTGGCGTTGTTTCTGAGGTTTTGTGCTGTTGAAGCTTCTTCTCAAGAGATTGAGATTTGGGAATGTGGTTGCTCTGAGGTTGCAAGGATTGTAATTGTTGGCTGAGTAAGTAAATTGTTTCTTGGCAAGCTGCAAGCTTTTCCGTTGCAGATGCTATGTCTTTCTCCTGGCAACAAGAAATAAGTACATTTTGGTTAAGATGCCTATTGCTAGTTGCATTATGCGAAATCGCAACCTTATCAAGAAGAAACTAGTAAGAAGTGTACCTGATTAGGTTGGTGTTTGGATTCTGAACATTTTCTGCAAGTCTCATTCCTTCAGTTAAAAACAAATTTAGCAAAATAAACTCTGCATAATGAAAAGTTGTTTAGTTTATAGATTTCAAAAAGAATTACCTTTGCATTTCTTCTTGAAGGTCTCTGCATTTAGCTAGAGTCTCCTCATGGCCACGCTTTTCCTTAGAGAAAGCTATCTCAAGTCTCTCTGTCTCTTCTTCCAAACTTTTCACTTGAGCTTCTAGATCTTTGGCGTGGAGTTCAAGCGATTTGTATGACTCGGTCACGCATTTCAGCTGAGTCTCTGCCGAGCTTTGAAGGTCTCTCGATGAAGTAAGCTTCGATTTCAGCTCTGATATGAGCTTCTCTTTTTCTTCCAACCCAGCCTTTGTACTTTCAAGATTCTGCAAGCATCTTGATAATTCCATGCCAATGTTTTCTTTCTCCAACTTTAGCTGTTCCAACTCTTTCAATAAGCTCTTACATGATGAATTATCCATCTCGTGAAGGTGATCCTCTTCCTTAGCAAATGTGTCTCCCAGTGGATCAGAATCTGAAACTTCAACCACTTTTTCTAGCAATGTAACCTTGTTGTAGCTCTCTGCAACATATGTCTCTTTACTATGGTTCTTGAGAACCGAAGCACCATTGTTCAGATTGCTAGCTAAAACTGAGATTCGGGAGAGTTCTAGAATAAGGTCAGAAAGGCTTGATTCACCGGTTGAATATTTACTAACCAACGAATAGAAACCCTCCAAGCTTTCACTCATCTCCAGAGGTTGTGTTGCTTCCTTTGTGGTTGATTTTATGAAGTGGTGAATATTGGAAACAGCTGCTTCCAAATCTTGTTCGGTGGTGTTCTTCCGCACATTTTTGCTGTTTCCGGTATCCTGAGATGACAATACATGTTTCTCCAGAGTTTCATCCGCAACTTCAAACAGAGGACTTGAGAGTTGTTTGGGTGATGATCCTTGCATCTCTTGGATCGAAAGTCTCGCCGCTTCCAAGATTTTCTCAATGCTAATGCCCTCTTGAGATTCAAACTCCCTACTGATTCTTGAACGCAGAAACGTTAAAAGCTGATCAAGTGCTGTATCGTCTTGCTCACTGGACTTATTAGCGTATTGTTTGCCTACAGATTTACTACTGCAAAAGCTGTTGCAAGATTTAGAAGCTGAGTTTGCTCCATCTGGATCATTGGCTGCTAACTTCTCAATCATCAGGAAGTCATCCATTAACTCCAGTCTAGTAGAAATCCTAGGCTTTGAGGAACCATCGACATTTACTGTTCTTACTTTATGAGAATCTGTTGAGGTTGAACTTCCTTCTTCATCAAATCCATCTTCTGATACAGAGGTGACACTAGGCGGATAGTTATGATCATGACCACTTGATAGACTTTCAGAAAGATCTCTGCTATTTGACTTTGGAGAGTTCTTGTCATTGTGAAACACATGCAACTGCCCTTCAAGAATCTTAAGCTTTCCGAGAGTCTTACCGCATACATTCCTTGAAACCTGCAGCTCATTGTTACGGGCAGCAAGAAGTTCTTTAAGTGTCTGAATCTCCTCCTCCATTTCTAATGAGCGTCTCGTGAGACAAACATTCTCTCTCTTGCACTCGTCCCACTTGTAATCAGCAGAAAGATCTGGCTTGTGTGCGTTGTGATTGGGATTTTGAGCTATGCTTCTCTGTGCTCGAGGGTCTGTGAATTCAGGCCCTAAGCTTTCAACTTCTAGCTTAATCTGAGCCATAGCAGCAGGACCAGGAAGCTTCTTCCGCAGAAGCCCTCTCAGCCTTTGACACTCTGCTTCAAGTTTCGCAATCTTCTTCACTCCTTCGAGGTGCTGTTTGTTTGCGTTTTCCGCTGACTTCAAGCTCATGTTTTTCTCTTCGTTGCGGATTTCTACTTCTTTTGAAGCTACGTGAACATCATACTTCAGCGAACTGATTTCCTTCTCAGCCAACTGAATATTAGCCTTTAGCTTTTCCACATCAGCTTCAGCTTTAGACCTTTCCTCGCTGATCCTTACTATCATCTCTGATCGATCTTGCAACGATCTAGAGAGTGCTGCATTGTCAGAAGCTGCCCGGTGAAGCCCTTGGTTCAACTCATCGATCTTTCCTTCAAGATCAGCTTTGATCTTGTCCCAGTGTCTGGTTTTAGCAAGAACCACATCTTGCAGCTTCTTATCACCCTCATCTTTCACAATCCTTATCTGCCTCGTACACTCTTTCAGCGCATCATCCAAATGCGATGACCGGTCCTCTGCAGTGATCTTTAAGAGTGTAGCAGTTTCAAGTTGACGTTTGAGTGCCAAAGTTTCTGAATCAGCTTTCTCCCATCCTAAAGAACAACGACTAATCAGATCATTTCAAAGCAGTCCACATTTTAATACTAAACAGAGGAATGCTTAATATAACATTTCAGGATATATCAAGTGTTTCGTGCTCTCATAATCAAAGAAACAGAATAGTAGTGATTCATGGAGGTTTTGTTTCTTACCTGAAACAGCTTCTTCAGCGACTTTGGCATGTTGAAGAATCAAACATTCTTTAGTCTTGATCTCTGAGTGTGCAAAAGTGAGTTTTTCTTTAAGATCCTTAACTTCACCCTCAAACAATTTGACCTGATCCTCCATTCTACTCAAATGCGTGTATGAATCCATAGTTATCTGAACATAGTTTGTGTTCTTACACTTCTCCTGACACACAATCAAAACACAAAAACTTCAATAAAGAATTCATATCTCACAAAAACTGACACTTAGGACTAAAAACATTTTCTCAATTATTTATAAAAAACAGAGCTTTGGTTTAAACTAAAAGCTACCTGATTCTCCAGAGATGCTAGGTAGGACAAAGAACAAACATTAGTTGACTCGTTTCCAACCACTGGTTTCTCGGCCGTGACTTTGTCGGAAGACTTTCTCTTCCATGGCCAACCTCCTCGACCGTCCATTTGTTTATTCAGGCTCCTTCTCAAAATCACTCTGCTGCACATTCGTTTTTTAAAAAAAGCAAGAAATGTAAAGCTTAATAAAAAAAAAACATTAGAAACTGATAGTTTGTTCCGACATGGAAAAAGTTTTGAATTTTGAACTACCATCCAAAAACGGAAACAAAATTTTTCACGATTCCGTAAATGTTGCTTTCAATTTCACATAAATCCCGCAATATTTATGCCGATAGGTCTAAAATAACTCAACAGTGACTGTTTTGTTTTCTTGTTTATTTTTTCCATCTTCTACAATGAATGACAATAATGACTTCTTTCCGAATATGGATTAAATTCACCCACCAGTTTTTTTTTAAAAAAATTTCAATTTCAAATAAGAAAAAAATGAGAGACACGCTTATAAAAAAATTCGAAATCAGTTTAAAATTGTACCCAAATGAGCGCGAGTTCTTCACATAAACTATCTCACTTAGAACAGAAGAACAAATTAAAAATCAAAACAACAACAGAATCCATAACTTCACTTGAAGAATTTCAATCTCCACTCCATCGGAAGAAATTTCTAAGCTGAGCTAAAAATCGGAGACAAGCATACCTTAGAGATGAGATGATGATTACACACACACTTCAGAGCGCGCGAAGATCGAAGAACATTACTCGAGCTACAGAGAGAAAGAGAAGAAGAAGAAGAAGAAAGTGGGAGGAGCGTGTTTGTGCCAGAGAAGAAGGAAGGAGCGGGTGGATGATTTATGCGCTTGAGGCTGTCGCTTTTTTTCAACTTTGACGCTCCACACAAACAGACAACTTCTCTATTTCAAAAGTTTTCTCTTTTTTAATTTTTTTTTATCTATTGTTCTTTTTTTTTTAATAAAAGAAAGAAATGAAAATAAAACGGAATACGAGGAGACGGTTCTACGGTGCGGGTGGGTGCATTGAACAACTTTAATGGATTTGACGGATCCAATGTTTCAAAAAAATCTTTGATTTTTCCCGGGTTTTTAGTTTTGGGCTTTGAGTCGTAGACCCATTTAGCGTAGATCCATCTGAGCCCACTAGGGTTTTTGAGAGAGTGAAGTAGTTCCGGATATAAACCTGATTCTTCTCCCACTACAAAAGCTTTTACCCTAGTACCTGGCACTCGCCGTAATCTGAAGAAGACGAAGGAAAATCATTCGCCATGGGTCGTGTCATCAGAGCTCAACGTAAGGGAGCGGGTTCCGTCTTCAAGTCCCACACTCACCACCGTAAGGGTCCCGCCAAATTCAGGAGCCTCGATTTCGGCGAGAGAAATGGTTACCTCAAGGGTGTTGTGACGGAGATCATCCACGACCCAGGACGTGGTGCTCCGTTGGCTCGCGTCGCCTTCCGTCATCCTTTCCGTTACCAGAAGCAGAAGGAGCTCTTCGTCGCCGCCGAAGGAATGTACACCGGTCAGTTCCTTTACTGCGGTAAGAAAGCCACTCTCGTCGTCGGAAATGTTCTCCCGCTCAGATCTATCCCCGAAGGAGCTGTCGTCTGCAACGTCGAGCACCACGTCGGAGATCGCGGTGTTTTCGCTAGAGCCTCTGGCGATTACGCCATCGTTATCGCTCACAACCCTGATAACGACACCAGCAGGTTTGTAGTTTGGATTATTGAAATGTTATATCTATTTGGTTCTGCTGAACTGTTGTGTAGATTGTATTGATATACCTCATGAATCATTTTGGCTGATTTCGTTAGATTGGACTAGAAATGCTTATCTGGCTAGAGATGACTGCTTCAAATCATTTGTTCTTGACGTCAAGTTTCAATATTTCGATGGTGATTGGATTCATAGAAACTGTAAATCTAGTTTAGCTCTACTGAATTGTTGTATGATTATTGTGTTTAGTATTCTTCATGATTCATTTGGACGATTGGGTTGAATTGCATTAGAAATGCTTATAGAAAAGTTTACTTGTTTAAAATTTGGTATGTGTAAGCATTTTATCTCTGATATTCTTGTTGAATAAAGCTTAAACGAATCTCCATTGTATACTGAGAAAGCTTTGTTTTGACAATGGCAGGATCAAGTTGCCGTCTGGTTCAAAGAAGATTGTGCCAAGTGGATGCAGGGCCATGATTGGTCAAGTTGCAGGAGGAGGAAGAACAGAGAAGCCGATGCTCAAGGCAGGTAACGCATACCACAAGTACCGCGTGAAGAGAAACTGCTGGCCTAAGGTGCGTGGTGTGGCTATGAACCCAGTCGAGCATCCTCACGGAGGAGGTAACCATCAACATATTGGTCACGCTTCTACTGTGCGTCGTGACGCACCACCCGGGCAAAAGGTTGGTCTTATTGCTGCAAGGAGAACTGGTCGTCTCAGAGGTCAAGCTGCTGCTCTCGCCGCCAAGCAAGACTAAGGAGAGGAGTCTACAAGATGAAATTGTTCACTTTTTTGCGATTGTTTTTGAGACCTTGTTTTGGAACCTTAAGATTTACTACACTGTTCTTTGAGTCCATTCACTTTCAAGTAGAATCTACATCTTCAGATTTGAGCCTTGAATTTATAAAGCTTTTAAATTTTTTTGTTCCAGTTTCATTTCGTTTGCCAGGAATATCTTTAGTTTGGCTTATTATTTTTCAGTTTTGCGAAAAATATTGTTGTCTATCTAACCCATATTACGATTTTCTTCCTTATGTTGTGACTTGCTTACTTATTTACGGTTTCTCCTTAGTAAACTTTTAAAGAAAGAGTGTCATTGACATTGAACCCTACGTCAGCTTCGACCGCCCAAATCAAGAAACAAAGGGAGGCCATAACGAGCTACTACGTCCAATAAATCCGAATTCGAACAAGACGTAATCGGTTGACGGATCATAAAATACCAAAAAGGCTACGAAAGGCATTTACTACACAGTTTGGGGCTCTTGTAGTTTGACACTCAATACAAAGAAAAAAATTAGAGAGAACTCTCAAAATAAAAACGGTTTTATTTCTCAATTCAAGGGTGCTATGTACAATGATATGAGCTGAGATTTCATAGATGGTAGCTAGACTGAGGCAGCCTTGGAATAGGAGGAGGCAGGGAGTAGAAGTGATGAAGGGTCATTTTCGTAAGCATCGATGTCGGGTGATCCAAGACCTTGACCTGTCTCTACTGCTGTGTCTGCGTCTGCTGCTGATTGATACATTTCTTCCACCATTGGTTTCCATAATCTAACCCTAGCATTTATGAACCAATTTGACACCTGATTTCTGGATAAACCAGTCTGACGAGCCAAGAGGTGCTTATCTGCATCGCTTGGATACCTGAGAAAGAAACCAGAAGATAACATCACTCTATCTTTGCCCTAAAGCTCAATCTAATTTCTTCGTGACCAATACAATCAAGTAAAATGCTAGAAAAAAAGTAAAGACTTTCGACTTCTTTTTCCCAACAAGGGCGTGGGGAGACAAAAGAAAAGCTGGTGATTACATACAGCATAGATCCAGTTTGTTTGTTTTCTTTCTAATTATAATAATGAATAATGAGAAAAGTACAAAATAATAAATTTGACTTACGGGTGAAGGAAATGCTCGAAGAGCCAAGCTCTAAGGATACTAACGGAGCGTTCATGCAAACCGCGTTGTGGCCGCCAAGCTTCTTGTTCCATCGTCCCCATTTGATTAAACGCACGTTGCAGACGCAAACTCTGTTCTACCAAACGCAGCCGCGGCGTTTCACCTTTAGTTAATCCGGAAGAAGATATTCCGGCTCCATCTTTGTCAAGAAGTTCGCAGCTCTGTCTAAGCTGAGCCGCGACGGCATCTTTAAGACATCGAAAATGCCTTGACATAGACTTTTGAGCCAAAGCTGTGTACGGTAACGCCGCCCCAGGGCCCATTACTATGTCTAAAGAGTTTACAACCACCTGCAGATGCTCGCAGTAATCGTTGTACCGTCGGTACACCTGCCAACAAAACAAAACGATATACAACGTTACACAATCCACAATCCACAATCCATTTTTTTTTTTTATATTTGATTTCTCTTTTAATTAATGTTATTTACGTGATTAATATTTGTGTAGAGAGATTTTCTCACGGAGTATCATGCTTCCTGTTTCTTTATAATAACTTTTGGATCAATAATTTGACCAAAACAGTGTGAATTTTATGGAATTTCATGACAAGTCCTTTTTTACGTAAAATGTGTGAATGAATATCATTAAGTAAGGACAAGTCAAAATCAAGATTGAAACCATACCTCATCAAGCATGGAGAGTAGCTTCACTTTCCGTCTTTGATGCTCAATCCGATCAGATGCCGACAAAGGAGGATGATCCTTTATTGCTCTGGCCGAGGATGGTGAGCCGCCGCCACCGCCACTGCCACCGCTAGTATTAGGGTTTAAGCTGTTCCTAGTTTTGGCTTTCTTAGTAAATTCTCTTCCAACGCTACAAACCTCCTCCCACAACTCTTGAGCGGCCTTCGTGTACCTCGAGTTTCTTAAGATATTGGTCGCTCCGATGGAAGAGGTAGAAGCCGCAGGAGACGATCGGAACTGGTTTGGTAATTGATGGTGTTGAGAGAAATCAGCAAAGGGAGTCTTCAATTGATTGTATTGATGATGGGATGGTGCGTTAGAAGAATTGCTTCCATAGTAAATGTTTCTATACTCCTCGGCTTTTTCTGCAGCCTGTAAAGACGACGACCGAGATAAAGACAAGCCTTTTCCGCTGTTTTCCACGTGGACGGTCCCGATCTCGGTTTGGCTGTTGTGATGATGATCGGAGGATGAAGGAGACTGCCACGTCGGCTGTTGGTTATGCTGATGTGGAAGTTGATGCATAGACATGGCATTAGCGTAGACTTGATAATGAGATGGATTTGGTATCAACATGTGAAGAGTTGAAGAATTTTCGTGGCTCCTTGTGGTGGTTGTCGATGCCGGAGACGGTGGTTGTTGCGGTGGCGGAGGGGGAGATCTTGACCACGTCCAATCTTTCTGGGTCTTAGCTTCGTTCTGCTGACTTCTTGAGTTCGGATTCAGTGGCGATTGCCAAGGGATGAGATGATCGACAGTCACATCGGTTTTCCACGTGGGTATCAAGTTGACAAGTAATATATCAATCAGCTCAGCTAAAAACGTGACGTCAAGGTCAGTTGACTCGAGTAACTCAACCACCTCTCTCGACACCTTAGAAGCATTGTCGCTTTCTTGATAGAAGGGGAAACAACTGCTCAAAGTAATTTCTGCAGTTAAAAAAAAAAAAAAAAACATTAATTAAGCTTCGGAATGTGAAAAAATATCGAAGTAACGGCTATCTAACAGGAAGCTGAACTAAAATACTCACCATTCTCATCTCGAAGAATAAAAGTGAAGGACACATGGTGTTCATCATTCTGTTCACCCCTGAGGACGTACAACTTCCCTCTCTTTGCGCGCCTAACCTCGATACACCTGGATCCTGAGTTGTCGCTAATAGTAACAACAGGCAGGCTATTGTCTTCATCGAGATCCATAGATATGAGACTAGTTGAATTCGTAATACAAGAAATCTCCTCCAAACTTGAGCATCCAATAAAATTCAATTCCTTGATATTAGTGGTATTTCCCATGGAGGAAGGGAGGTCCACCATGAGTTTAGTGGCATTCTTAATAAAAGAAGGTAGCTCCACAAGACTTGAGCATCCGGTGAGACACAATTTCTCAAGATTAGTAGTATTTTCAATAGAGGAAGGCAGCTCCACCAAACTTGAGCAGTATTCAAGATTCAATATCTCAAGATTAGTGGCATTTCCGATAGAGGAGGGAAGCTCAATCAGACTTGAGCAACCACTGAGATCCAATATTTTAAGATTAGTGGCGTTCCCCATAGAGAAAGGGAGCTTCACCAAACATTCACATCGAGCCAGACATAACTTTCTAAGACTAGTGGCATTTCCAATGGATATCGGTAATTCTCTTATGCTAGTTCCCTGGAGATCTAGTTCTTCAATATTTGGTGAAACCTCCGAGAAACTTTTGATCTCTCTGCAACCTGAGAGGTTCACAACTCGGAGGTGCTGTAAATGATCCGTGGCTGGAAAACTCTGCAGTTTTATACAGCCTTTGAGATCTATTAGCTCGATGTTTTGAGCTTTACAAATATCGCCAATTTCAGTCAGCTGCTGGGAATGACAAAGCCTGACCATCTTCAGCATATCGAGGTTCTGTAAACAAAATTAATTTGGAAAATAAATAAGATTTGATCTGGAAAAAAGGTATAAGAGAGGTGACCGGAGTTTGCTTACCTTGGTTCCTCCCCAGAGCATCTGAAGCTGACTGTAAGACATATTGAGTTCAACAAGGTGGCTCGGCTCAAAGTCTTGTGGCAAGGAATGCAAAGGATAGTTCTCCCAGTGGAGAAGTCTTAACTCATAAGGTAGAGACTCAAGTCCTCTTGGAAGGCAGAGTTCACAGTGGTTTACATGACTGGAACAGTAAATCTTCAGGAATCTAAGGTTAAGCATATTCTCAAAAGCAGTGGGCTTCACATCAAAAAGTAAATTCGATGTGTCCAGAAATATGCCTTCGATGTCTTCAGTGCCCTGAAATATAAGGGAAGCAGATAAATCAACAAGTTCGTTCTATTCCAAAAGCAATCAAGTTTTATATGAAAATTTCGGAATATGTCAGACCAAAGCACGTTTACAGGTTGGTTTGGGATATTCATTGGCTTCAAGTTTGTCATCTTCAAGTAGAAATTTGACTGTCCAAGGTTCCCACAGTCTGCGACGCCTCTCAATCTGTACTGTTTCTCCGTTGATTATTTCTCTGCCAAAGTCTTGAATTATTCTATGCATTTCAACTCTGTTTTCTGAAATAGTCACCAGACACTTCTCCACAAGGACATCAATCCCAACATGTGGAAAAAGACCACATTCCTCAAGCAGCTGCATCACATAGTCAACATCTTCTCCCTTGAAGAAACAAGCAATGTCCAGAAAAATGTCCTTCTCGTTGTCGTTAAGTGATTCGTAGCTGCTCTTGAATAAATCATGGATCTTATATGGAGCACGTAGCCTGAAGTTGAGGAGCGTCGTCTCCATTTCTGACAGTTCCTTTCCCTTAAGCGCCCCGCCGTAAAAGCTGAGGGCAAATGGGTTTCCATTAGCATAATCAATCACTTCCATTGATAGTTCCAGGAGATTTTGTTCTCTTATATCTTCTCCAAATGCACACTGAGAGAATAGCTGCAGAGCCTCGTTCTTATTTAAGCTCTGAACCTCATACACGTGATCAATCTGACAAAGGCGGAACACTTGTTTATCTCTGGAGGTTATGATGATTAGGCTTCCTGGACCAAACCAATGAAACCTTCCGAGAAAAGACTCGGCTACTAAAGGATTTCGCACGTCATCAAGAACAACAAGAGTTCTCTTCTTGCTTATTTTTTCCCCGGGGAGGCTAGGTCTTGTAATGCTACTGCATACACGAGGAATTTCCTTCAAAATTTTCCCAAAATGTTCATCCAACAAACGGTACAGTCCCTTCTCATGGAAAGCTTTGTCAAAGTGTTTGATGAAACACGAAGCTTCATAGCCTCCAGCGATCTGGTCAAAAGTTGCTTTAGCAAGTGTCGTTTTGCCAATGCCAGGCATACCCCAAATTCCTATGCGACGGATACCCCATGGTTGCCTGCAAAGCATCTGTCTTATCTCCAGCAGCCTCGAGTTGATTCCAATTTGTTCCATGGGAAAGAGTTTTTCATACACGTCTTTGACAATCTCTTCCACAAGTTCGCACTCACTAGATTCCTCCCTGTTTGCATTAAACTAAAAGCCATAAAGTGAACAATTCGAGAAAAACATGTTTTTGAGAGAGTTGATAGGTATTCTTCTAAAAATGCAAGCAACAGAGTAATATATATACACAATTACCTAGAGTGTGTGCCTGGTAATTCTCTCAGTTCTTGGAGCGCGCTACTCCAATCTTTAACCCGATCAGCTGATTCTTGCTCCTTCTCCACCGCCACATCTGATGGACTAATACCATAGAATACTGGAACCACCAGCTGGACCAGCTGAAGAACCTTCACGAGCTTGTCCAGGCATGAGGGGGAGGACAAGTAAGTCTTAGATATAACCACCACAGAGGCGCTGGCTTCCTCTATCACATCCAGAGTCCCATTGCAATTTACTGATGCAGAAATGCCTTTCCGGTGGAAACCCACGGAGAGATGGCTGGCAAAAGAGTACTGTAACGTATCTGCGCAGTAGATGCAGACGGTGTGTTCTAATCCATTAGAAGGTATTCCTTTGAAAGCTCTTTCACTTGAATTCCTCAACATAGCTGAAGCATCACTTGCACTTGTGGTTTCTTCGACCGTGTCCGCTTCATCCCCATCTTTTCTTGTCTTTTTTTTGGGTTGAACATCCTCATCTGAGTGTAGGCCTTGGATACCACTTGATAGGCTGGTTTTTTCCAATATGGACAAAATATGAACGGCGAGATCTTCGATCAAAGACGCTTCGTTGTCCCTAAGAAAGGGGGAAGGATCCAAACATAGTAAATAGTCATGAATAATTCACACACACACGCGTGCATATAAAAAGTTTGAATTTTGTTTGTGTTAAAGATTAAGAAGATGCAAGTAGTAGTAACCAAAAGGACGAACCAGCTGCGTGAATGGTAAGCAGCGATTGTGGCCACTTGTCCCAAAGCTTTTTCCCATCTCATAACGTCCTCCTCTGTTTTCCCCAGGTCTTGAGTTGGTTTCTGCTCATCACCTGGACTCATTTCATAGAGGACGGGGATCACTACCTGACCCAACTCTTCCTTGCACTTCATTATCTCCACCAGCTCGTCCAGGCACCGCGAGGAGGAAGCGTAGTTCCTTGAGAGCATGACAATCGCGATTCTCGATCCTCTGATAGCTTCTATGAGCTCAGGGCCGATCCCGATCGAACTGCCCCTCACGACTTCTTCATCAATAAACAGGTCAACTCCCTTGCTTCTCAACCTCTTCTGCATCTGATTGAGAAAGCCTTTGCGGAGATCTACCCCGTGAAAGCTCAGGTAAACATCGTGTGTCCAATTCGGAGACGACGATGATGCCATTCTTTTGTGTTGTGGCTTGGATCTGAATTTTCTATAAACCGGAAATAGCAGCGTACCCAAAATCGACTAGGAAGTAACAAGACTCCATTAGAATTAGTGGAGGATCAACAGAGCTTTCTGTGCAAAGAGGGAGAAGAAGAACATTGACTCCAGCGATAGAGGAAAGCTTCGTGGATGTTTCCTTCCCACCAAGAAATTTTTGCCAATGACAAATCAATGTCATTAGTTAATTCGACCAAACAAAAAAAAAAGTGTTAATATTGATTAGATTACAAATATGATATTAGAGAAATTGATTTGTTTTTTTGTCTCGTTAACATAAGACATTAGAGTAGAGTGGATAGTGGATGAATATATTTTTTTTTTTATCTGGGTTTTTGGTCAATGGTCTTCTTCTCTCATCCACACCTAGACTCAGCAAACACTAAAAATCACATAATCAACAAGAGCTTAATGATTGCAATCCCAAACGCGAAACAGTCTCTCTTCCTTCATTGCTTCTCTGTCAAAATCTGGCTGTCCCATAATCGACCATGGCTTCCTCCGTCCAGTGCCCGCCACACAATCAAGTCTTCATCAATTTTCGTGGGGAAGAGCTGCGGAAGGCTTTCGTTAGCCACCTGGAGAGGGCCTTGATAATAGATGGAATCAACGTCTTCATCGACGAAAACGCAACCAGTGGTGAAGATATCACCACCCTCTTTGACAGAATTGAGGAGTCGAAGGTCGCGCTCGCCATCTTCTCAAGCCAGTATACGGAGTCAAAGTGGTGCTTGGACGAGCTGGAGAAGATCAAGCAGTGCGTTGACTCCGGCAAACTTGTGGCCATCCCCATCTTCTACAAGGTGAAGACAGACGATGTGAAAAATCTCAAGGGTCTGTTCGGTGACAGGTTTTGGGAATTGGCTAAAAGCTATCAAGGCCAGAAGATCGACAAGTGGAGAGACGCTTTAGCGGCGGTTCCACGAAAGTTCGGCATCACTTTAACCGAGACGAGGTACACTACATACCAAAGTGACATTGTATAACTTTGTTTGGCTATCAGGGTTTCTGATTGCTTCTTTTCACTCGCCTTTGCAGCAAAGAAAGCGAATCCATCGCTCAGATTGTAGGGCAGGTGAGGAACGTGCTAAGTGGCATCTCGACGTATCAGGAAAGAGAGATGATCTCCATTGACGATCCTGGTGAAGCTGCTTCAGACTCGGTGGCTCTTCCTTTGTTTGGCATAGAAACACGTCTTAAGCAACTGCAAGAGAGGTTGAATTCTGACGTCGCCCGTACTCGTACTATTGGTATTGTTGGGATGCCTGGTATTGGTAAGACCACCTTGACGGAGATGCTGTATGAAAAGTGTCAAGTCAAGTTCTTGCGCAAAGCTTTTCTTCCAGATGTCCGTGATTTGTGTAAAAGCGGCATGATGGATGGGAGCATTCTTACGAGAGAGTTGTTGAGGGATGAAGAAGATGTGATCCAAGGAGTCCCTTACATGCCGCCTGAATCCTTGAAAGCGCTCCTACTCCGCAAGAAGTCTCTTGTTATTCTTGACAACGTGAGCCACAGGAAACAGATTGAGGTTCTTCTTGGCAAACGCGACTGGATTAAGGAAGGTAGCTTCATCATTATCACGACGAGTGACAGGTCGGTGATCGAAGGGAAGGTTGATGACATATATGAGGTTCTGAGATTGAGTGGCAGAGACAGCTTGCAGTGCTTCAACCATTTTGCATTCACCGATGGTAATCCAGTGGGAAATTTCATGAATCTTTCTAAAGAGTTTGCGGACTATGCCAAAGGCAACCCATTAGCTCTCAAGATGTTGGGTAGGGAGCTTAAAGGAAAAGGCGAGACTCAGTGGAGAGAGACACTTCGGAAGCTGGCACAAAGTCCCAATAAGATGATACAAAGTGTCTTGCAGATAAGCTATGATGAACTAAGTGCGAATCAGAAAGATGTGTTTCTCGACGTTGCGTGTTTCTTTAGATCAAGGGATGAGTATTACGTGAGGTGTTTAGTGGAGTCTGGTGACACTGAGCGCATCGATGCTGTGAGTGAAATAAAGGATCTTGCCAGTAAATTCTTGATTAACATTTCTGGTGGACGAGTGGAGATGCATGATTTGCTCTATACATTTGGCAAGGAACTTGGTTCACAAGGCTCGCGTAGGCTGTTGAACCATAAAGGGTTTGTTGATGCTCTGAGAAAAGCAGCGGTAAGATAAACCTTCCAACTGTTTGATTTTCAGTGTAGCAAAATTTGAAGTTCTTGTTTTCATGATAAGTAATCTACAAGCTCACGTAGCACTCGACTATCTTAAGAATCTTCAACTAACTTATTGTTTTTCCATTGGCAGGGAGCAGCAGGCAGTGTGAGAGGTATTTTTCTCGACATGTCTGAACTGAAGAAGGAATTTCCTTTGGACAGATGTGCCTTCAATAAGATGCGTAATCTTAGGTACCTCAAATTCTATAGTTCTCGTTGTCATCGGGAATGCGAAGCTGACTGCAAGCTAAACTTACCTGATGGGCTTGAGTTTCCATTGGATGAGATACGGTATCTTCACTGGTTGAAATTCCCTTTGAAGAACCTTCCAGACTTCAATCCCAAGAATCTTACCGACCTTAACCTGCCTTACAGCGAGATTGAAGAAGTCTGGGATGGTGTTAAGGTGTGTCTCTGTTTAAGTTAGGTTTCACCGTTATGGTTTTATGAGGTTACTAGATTAGACTTGCTTAGTTTTTTTGTGACTGCTCATTGCAGGATACACCGAAGCTAAAGTGGGTTGATCTTAGCTACTCAACCAAGTTATGCAATCTGTCAGGGTTGCTAAATGCTGAAAGTCTCCAAAGATTGAACCTTGAAGGCTGCACGAGTTTGCAGGAGTTGCCGAAAGACATGAAACGCATGAAAAGTCTTATTTTCCTCAACATGAGAGGATGCACGAGTCTCCGGGTTCTCCCACGTATGAATCTGATCTCTGTGAAAACTCTCATCCTCACCAACTGCTCAAGCCTTCAGAAATTCCGGGTGATTTCGGATAATCTAGAAATTCTACACTTAGATGGAACTGCAATTGATCAACTTCCTAGGAACATGGTGAAGCTTCAGCGACTGATTGTATTGAACTTGAAAGACTGCAAAATGTTGGGGGCGGTTCCAGAATGCCTGGGGAAGCTGATAGCTCTGCAAGAACTGGTGCTATCCGGTTGCTCAATGCTCAAGACTTTTCCAATTCCCATTGAAAACATGAAATGCTTGCAGATTTTATTGCTTGATGGGACAGCAATTACAGACATGCCGAAGATATTGCAGTTCAATAGCTTACAGGTGGAAGATCCATGCGAATTAAGACGTGGTATGAACGGCTTATCCTCACTGCGACGTCTATGCTTAAGCGATAACGCTATGATCAGCAACCTGCAAATCGACATCAGTCAACTATATCATCTGAAATGGCTTGACCTGAAGCTCTGCGAGAATCTCACATCAATTCCATTGCTTCCGCCAAATCTAGAGATGTTAGACGCACATGGCTGTGAGAAATTAAAAACAGTCGCTTCCCCCATGGCCCTTCTTAAGCTTATGGAGCAGGTTCACTCTAAATTCATTTTCACCAACTGCAACAATCTAGAACAGGCTGCAAAGAACAGCATCACATCGTATGCTCAAAGGAAAAGCCAGCTAGATGCAGGCAGATGCTATATAGAGGTCTCGTTCCGCACTATATCTAATCGAGTCTCTTTCAACAGTTTATAAAACAAAACAAAATTGGGTTTTCGTGTTACTTTTGCAGGGCAATGTTTCAGAAGCTTTGCTCATCACTTCCTTTCCAGGGAGCGAAGTACCTTCATGGTTCAGCCATCGCACAATTGGACCCACGTTAAAGCTGAAGTTTCCACCACATTGGTGTGACAACAGGCTTTCAACAATAGCTCTGTGCGCGGTCGTCACATTCCCTGAAACTCAAGATGAGATCAAACGATTCTCAATAGAGTGCACTTGTGAGTTCAAAAACGAAATTGGGACATGTATACGTTTCAGCTGCATTCTTGGTGGAGGTTGGCTCGAACCACGCAAGATTGATTCGGACCATGTGTTTATCGGTTACACCAGTTGCTCACAGATAACAAATCACGTAGAAGAACATCATAAATGTGTTCCTACGGAGGCTTCAATCGAATTCCAAGTGAGAGATGGAGCAGGTGAGATTGTGAATTGTGGTTTAAGTCTGGTGTACGAGGAACCAAACCATGTCGTTATTGAAGGGAACCGTATTGGAACTTCTTTCAAGAAGAGATTTGTCGGTTGCAGAGAGTATGGTGAGCTGTGCTGAAGGGTTTCCGTTGTTTTAAGGTATCTGTTGCTAGGTGTTGTATTCTTTTTGGTTTATGGGTTTGCTAGATCTTTTCGCTAAATAAAAGTTGTATGTTCTTGGTCATCATTGATTAATTTATGTTTTGTATATGACTTGACTGGAAAATAATATTGTTAAATTTGTGACTTGACTGGAAAATAATATTGATCTTGGTCAGCAACCGGGGTTGAGATCAACTATTGAAACATTTTATGAAAAAAGTGACATGCTTAGGGATATTTAAATTATAAGAGACAAAAGGTGGGGTTTCTAAAGAAAAGTTTTATAAACCAATTGTTCAGGTCATTTGGATCGAATTCAGAATTCTCAAATTCAACCTGGCTCTGCATCATCACTTGATCAACTTCGTCAGCTTCCTTCGTTTCTGCGCTTCCATCAACAATGGGCTTTTTAGACGATCTTTTCTACTTCTTTGGTTCAAGTTGGGTTTCTTGCTGGACTCTTAATTTAGTATGGGCTTTTGTAAATTCATGATGGGGCTACTCTCGCAATTCTAGTAAATAGTAATACAATTTTTTTCCCCGCATGACAGATAATTTGATAAATACTGTAACAGTTTGCTCATAAAAAGACAGCACGATGCGAATATATTCTGTATCAGCTATTACTACGACATCGTTTGATGCTTATATCGGTTTGTCTAGATATAGATTGTTTAATTGGTTCTTCAAACTAAGACTCATTTTTCACAAATCTTGATTTCGTTGACAACAACACAGAACAGACATCTTGATTTTCAAATATTCATTAACACACTAAAAGAATTGAGGATCTTTTGGCCCACAGGTCTAAAAAACTACGCAATGACTTGACATTCTGGAATCACTTATTCATTATTTTAAAATAAAATTCAATTGACTATTCGACCGACGTAACCCATAATAATAACTAAACCATATTTTTTCACTCACATGTCAAAATATAACGAAGTTTTTTTTTATAAATGGCAACCATATACTAAGATTTTGATCAAATCTTCCCACGTTACAAAAACTCCATCATTACATTTGGCATCAGTGTTTTTTTACTCTCACTTGCCACACAGACAAAAACCTTTGCCATTTCATTATTATTTTTAATGTTTCGCATGAAAATTAATTGAAATGCGACGACGTGTGCAAAACAACGATTCCCTTTTTTGGTCAAGTTTACATTACAGTCTCGTCAGAAGAAAAAAAAAAGAAGAAGAGGAAGCTATATTTTTGGAAGATACCCATTGGTCAGGATTCTGATCGAGATACCTTATTAGTTTCCCCAAAAGACACAGTAGACTAGAAGTGGTCAATGGACTAACCCATATCTTAATATAGTCGCATGTTTATGGATATATAAACCATATATAAGACACATATATAACATGTCTATATTTACCCATCTTTGAAGTTCTTGCTTGAAACAAAAACGACAATATGAGATTTTTTCATTATATTATACATTTTTAATTAATGAATTCTCGAGTGATGGAGAATTCAGTGAAATATCTTCTTTGGGGAGTGACGAAAGAGAAGAAGATATATAATCATTAGTTTGATTAAAAGTGCCTAATTGTTCCTAATCATACTCTTACTTACCGTCTACTTTTTACCTACGTGGAGCGCCTCCAATGGTAATAACGGGAAATATAAGCGTTTCATCCTTGAGAGATCGTACAACAATAAGTTGTTCTGTCATAATTCTAATCAAATCCGCACTAATATGGATTTGAAAAAGTATATTGTGCTTTTTTACACTTGTTTTTGAAAAGTATCTAAAATAATATACTAGTATAATTTTGGGTTACTTGTTCATAACTCACAACACTTCTGTGTAATTTGTAGAAACAGAAGTGCTATCTTAATTATAACTAATAACTATATAAAGTTGTCAGATTCGATAATCAAAATTTTGGAGTGGGTAAAGTTAAAGCGAATACTAATCCTCCTCAAGAACTTACCATCGCATTTGTTTATATATTGTCAAATGTAACTTTGACTTTGTATTGAACCGTTTATGATACTTACATACAGATGTTTCTCCAAGAACCATTTGCATTCTTGAAACAATATATAAATTCGTAGGGAAGACATGAGAGTGGTTTAGTTGGCCCACCTTAAGTATGAAACGGACAAATCACAAGCCTTGTCTTTCCTTCAATCACTTCCCTCCCCTTCAAAAGCTACCATCATGTAAATCTCCATTGCCAAAATTTTGACATCACTTTTCAACAAGAATCTATAACTTTAAAGCATATTGTATATATTTTACGATAAATTCTTTTTTAGTTTACAATATCTCCTATATATACTTCCAAGGTATTATGTCTAATTCACACACGTACTCTTTATGTCGATTAGACTTTAACGTTTAAAATCTTTTAACAATTTTCTAATCTTATTAAACAAAAATGGGTCTATAAGAAACAAATTCAACTATATATCTACGGTAAGTCGCGTAAGAAACCGAGCGTAACACGTAGAAAGTAGAAGAACTAATTTGTAATATACGAAATATTCTTGATTTGATCTAGCTTGTGCATTGAATCTTCAAAGAACTTGGTACAAGTGTACAATCATACTACATGTAACATTTTTGCAAGGTACGTATAATCTATGATTAAGCTTTTGGTATGGAAAAGAATTGTATATTCTTTGGCAATATACAAAAACAGAATGATTTAGGATAAGGAATCATTATTTTAATAGGAATTCAAATGAATTTTACGTAGGAAAACTGGAGAAAAGGAAGAAACGGGTAAGAGGCTCTTGAAACGACGACAAAGCATGCCCAACGGACTCCCATCTTGTACACCGCACGCTCGACAACTCATGGGCCCACTTTGGGCCAACACTTGTTAACTCTCCATAGAAATAATTTATTTTATGAATGATTTCTTAATTCTGTATAAATATTTGACCATTGAAGAAAAAGTAAAATCCATATTTTGTTATTTTACAATTATAAATAGACATTAATAATCATTTTTATCAGTACACTCGAAAAAATGTATAATTATTCTTTTTTATTTCAAAGTTTTAACTTGAAAATAAAATGGATACAAAGTTGATCATCAACACAGATTACATGCGAACAAAAGAAGAGACATTATCCAAAAATAAAATAAAAAATTGACCATATTTGAGAGTAGACAAGACAAGAGGACGAAGAAACAATGTTTAGTGAGACGACGAAACGGGGTTCGCACCGTCAAATATAACAAACATTTACCTGAATGAAACAAATCTTAAATTTAAAACATTAATCTTCAATTCTTCATGAACAACAAAAAAATGAAATAACTACTGTAATAGAAAGATGGTGTTGTCCGTTTGGAAACTACTTACCAAAAACAAAAAGAGAGAGAGAAATCAATTCATGCTGCTTTCTTTTATATAATCTGATTTTGAAATCAGATACATAAAAATCAAAACCCTAAGCCCTAATATATCAAACACACACAAAAATAGCATACACTGTATCTTCACTCATTCACAGCCATACATCAACAAAAAATACTTTTAAAAATCTTTATAATATGTAATATTTTATCAATATATTCTACCTATATAGCAAACATTACGCACTATACTATATATTTAGTGTTATCATTTTATCAAACATGCAAATCGCTATATATGTCATAGTCCAAATTCGTACACAAGAACCCACTGATGAACCTGTTCTCCTCTTCCCTATCACTCAATAACGTCGATGAAGCCATCTCTATTCCGTTGTTATTGCTCTCTTCATTATTGCAATTACCGATTTTATTGTTATCGTCTTCTTGACGACCTCCAAAACCCGAAACTCCATCTTCTTGGCTCATAAGTTGAGAAGCAACAAATTTATCGAGCGTTCTCCAATCCGTTGTCATCACTGATGTTTTCTTCTTCTTGTCTTTATTTCCGCTACTTATAAGCCCGTTGAAGCTCTCATCCTCTTCTATTAATGGTCTTTTGTAATTATTATGATTCTTCTCCGATGGTGTTATTGACGTTGAACTCACTGGCCTCTTAGCAAGAGGGAGTGTAGGGCTTTCGAGCTGCGGAAGTTGAATGAATTGATCGCAATGGATGAAGTTTAAACCGATATTCGATCCTTCTAGTTCTTGTTTGAACATTAACTCTTGAGCAAGAATGTTTTGTTTCTGCTTAGATACGTAATTGAGAGGCTCCATACCGGAGCCTACTCCGCTCTGTAATTCGTCGTAAAAGTAACTTGAGCTCCAAGTTTCCGTGTTCTTGGCTTGACCGGTCGTTGGTTTCTTTTTGAAAGCTCTACAAACCACCCACCCTTCTTCCTACAAAATATACACACATACGCATAATTACGAATGGTTTAGTACACTTGGTGTAGATAAGCCTAACCCAATATCAAACATAGAGAAGAAATAATTTTGCTTTTATACGTAGTGAGACACAATAAAAGCATGCCTTAAAAGTCTGAGACCACAAGATATAAAGCTAATAAGCATAGGTACATACTCATTTGCAACCTATTTCAAAATTTACTATTAAACTTTTCCCATTTTGAGCGATTGCAAGATATATAACAAATCCTTCAATACTATTTGCAATTTTTTTGTTATTGTTGATAATAATAGTATATAGTATTTACAAAATTTGCTTATCTAATAGGATAAGAGATTTGAATGAATAAACTAGTTAGAGGACTTAAGACTTTTACTTAACTTGAACCGCTTAAATATAAATAAATATTATTCATATAAATAGAGATAAATAGATATTAACTTTAGTCTACATATATGGAACTGAAGTTTTAGGACATACTTTTTACTTCTTCTTTTTTGGTTTTGTGATTAAAGGTGTAACATTTTACATAAGTCTTAAAGATGCTCGACTTTTACCTAAAAGGTTTTAAATGTGTCTCATAAAAGAGCTTACGAGACCCCCCAAAAAAATAAAGTCTCTACTCTCTAGGCCCCATGAAAAACCAAACAAGTTCCATGTAATTTCCCACTAAAAATGGGAAAACAAAATTGAATATGTCGCGTATGACACAATTATGATTATCCTATCTATTTTGAATATATCATCAAGTAAAATATAGAATACCTGAGGAGGTGCATTCTCATCTGACTCTAGCCGGTATTCATGCATGATCCAGTCAGTTTTTTGGCCATTAGGAGCTCTTCCTTTGTAGAATACAAGTGTTTTTCTCATGCCGATCAGTTTTGACTTGTCGTAAACAGCCTTGTCTCGACCCGTGGCCTTCCAAAAACCGGCCATGGTCGCTCTGTTCGTTCTTGTTCCTGTTGGATATTTCTTATCTTTGTGGCTGAAGAAATACCATTCATTTCGTTCCTCATATCCGATTCGGCATTTCTCTATCATATTATATATAATCAAACGTTCATAAGATCTAGGCATTCACATTGTCATATTAAGAAAGCAAATCCTAAATTAAGTAGATGTATTAGTGTGGAACCTTGCAGATCCCATGGTTCGATTCTGTAGAGATCAATATCTCTAATGACATCAAGATCGATCTTTTGCGATGCAACTTTCTTCCTCAAATAGTAACCTACGAGCTCTTCGTCAGTTGGATGGAACCTGAATCCCGGAGGAACACTACATGACTGATCCACTGATTCCATAATTTCTGCATAACACCAAGTTCAACACCAAAATGATCATCAGTATAATGTCATATATACAAGTAATTAAATATGTATGCATGCTAGTATCACATCACAAAGAGTTGGGTTTATATATCACAGATAATTACAAAAAGGCAAGAATGGAAGTTTTAAAGAGAAGAATAATTATGTTTTGTAAGAAAGTATAATCATCAGCTCATTTAATGTTTAGTTTCCACTTAATTACCATTTTACATAGATAAAAAGTTACATGTACTCATAAAGGTACATAGTTATTACTTTTCTCTAACTTAAAAAGTGATCAGAAGATGGAACAAAGAACATGATAAGTTAGGTTTTAAAGTTGAAAATAAAAAGAGAAGGCATGCATGAGGGCTTCTGTGAGGTTCAAAGTGAACGGAAATGTAGAGTTTTGTACTAATGATGCTTTCCTGTTGTAACGTGGTTTGTGACTTAATGGTGGCAATGATCATATATATATATCGAGATACGGATTTTTTCTTCTTATTTCTGAACATTATTTTATATATGATGATATATTGATGTAATATTAAAACTAAAACAACCCAACCTAGCTAGCTCAATTATATAATATATCCAGCCTTGTGGAATACAAACAAAAACAGCTTTTTCCACATCTATAACAAAACAAAAAAACAAAAAAGAGATCATCAAGTCTGAGCAAAAACTGTTGGAAAGGTTTCAAAGTCTTCTATTTTCATTTCGGAAAGCTTTAAGTACACAAAACTGTATCTCGGTACTATACTACTACTACACACGGATAAATATAACATATGCGTACATATATACAAATCATATTCAAATACTAATTAAAAGGGTTTCCCCAAAGAAGAATCATACGGGTATTAGTATATACAAATTTACAAGACTTTATATGAGAAATGTAATATGAATATACAAAATAGTTTTCAATAATCAAGATCGACCACTAACGCATACAGATCGCTCAAGACAACAAGCTAAAGAACTAAAGAAAATATATAACAAAAGGTGATCTTAAAACCCACATATTTGTTGCAAATGGACTCTTTTGATCTGAAAACCCTTACTCTTTTTTTTTATAAAGAAAAGAAACCCTTACTAAATCAGTTTTACCTTTTCTTCGATCTGTGTAAGTTAGATGTGTATCAAATGTGATTTACTCGTTTGTAAGCAAAAGAAGACGACGATGATCGAGAAAGAAGAAGATCAGAGAGATATGGATGTGTAGAAGATGATGATCGTCGAGAGAGAGTATTGGTTATAAGTTTCGGGGGAAATGAAGAGAGAGACAAAGAGAGAGAGTGAGAGAGAGCCAGAGATTGATGATTCGGTGAAATATAAAAGGTATAGAGAGTGTGGACCGCTCGATTGCGCGTGGCATTCTCCATGTCCCCATTTGCGTACGTCACCCTCCTCCCGCTTCTTTTCACATTCTTCTTCGTTTTTTTCTTTTTCTCTTAACATTTATTTATTTAATTATTATATATAGGTATGTCTTATAGGTGTAAAACGGTCCTAAAGATATCAAAAAATAATTAATTCTAATTTTTCTGATTGATGCCTTTGGAATTTTTTTACATATATATTTTCAAGAAGACTAAAAAATAAAAAAGTACATTTGCAAGATTTTTGCATATCCTTGGGATTTTGAACATTTGATTTAACACATACACACGACTAAGTAATGATCCAGTTCTTTTAATCAAATGATGGTATATATATTCCAGTGTTCAATATATTTATTGGTCGAAATCTGAATTCAATTTATACTAAACAATTTTATTCAGTATATCTGTCTTCTGAGTTTTTTGATCTAAAATAATTTCATGAGAAAACAAAAATAAAACTGATTTCAATATAATATACGTTCCAACGAACTCTGACATTCTTTCAGCTTGGGACCTAAGTAACTTTGTCATTTTATCATTCTGTATTTTATGCATATATCGACAAGTTCTTTTGCTTTTCAAACTTGCGAGTTGCGAAACTAAACCAAAAAAAAAAATAGTTATACTTATATTTCCGTCAGACCAATGAGATCACGGGTTTTAGTGTTGCAAACATTCTGACATTCTGGAACATGCCACGCTGGCACGACAGAGAATGTCCCTTTGCCACGTGGGAGAGAATAAAATAAACCGCCCGCTGCACATGCTTTGTGAACTTCATGATTTACTAATGTAACCCTCGTTACTTCAGCCTCTGTGAAGGGTATATTCGTAGTTTAAGGACATCCCCAATATTGACGGCCTTCTCTTATCCAATGATTTATCGACAAGAACCAACGAGAAGGGAGTGAAACCGAACAGCAGTCACCACGTGGCGGTTATTGGTTGGCTATTGAGCTATTATCTTTACGTAGAAGATAAATAAAGCTCGTCCCAATATATATACATATCAGACAAAAAAAAAAAAAAAGGTATAATATTTTCTTGGTACCAAAATGATTTGATATTTTTTTGAGAGCGTCGTCGTAATAAGTAAGAAAATCAGCTAGCCTGAAAATTTGGTTACCAATATTCAGATTGTTTACATAGTACAGTTAAAAACTTTTTAACCAATAGTAAATGATGTAATAATGGATAATTTTTTGAAAAGTAAATTTCAAACTAACGAACACAAAGGACATGTTAAAGACATACAGTACTTGTTTCAGAATAGAAAGTGAGGGTTTTTGATATCTTTGATTCGATTAGTTTTAGATAGCATGTATGTAACTTTAAAGTTTTGGTAGAATGTCTCCCACATATATATGCATATACATGAATAAGACTGTACATATGATTTAGTAAAGAGGTTGGAATGACATGCCACCAAAAAAAAAGAAAAAATACAGAAAAAAACATATAACAAAGTGTCAAAGTGAAACAATCTGGTCCTGCATGCTAAGGACCTATATGCCATTATATAAAATTTCATTAAACGTGTTTGGACATTACTTGGGCTTCAAAATTGCACTTATTGCCGCTGTTTCGACGTTGACTCTTGATTACTTCTCCATCATATTAACTAAACAAATTTATTTAAAAAAACACCTTGCTTTTTTAGATAGTTTATAAATAATCAATAAATAGGAAGCTACCCAATGAATAAACAGAGGAGAAAAATAGTTGAATTGCAAAATTTATTTTCATACATTCTATGAATATATATATATATAAGCATCACGAAAATCGCTATCGAACTATGGTTGAATACTTTGCTATAGTGCTAACAAGTCTTGTCATTCTGAGCCATTTAATTAAATCTCTTTCATTATAAATGCCGTTCATTTTTTTTATAATAATGTTAATGTAAAGTTTATAATATAGTATATTTCAAGAAGGAAAAATAGTGGTATCATTTATAGTTTCTATTAATATGTGAACAAGAGAGTTAACACGTTATATATATATATATATATATATATATATTCAGCCGAAAATATAAATCAGATATGGTTTTCAGAAGGGTTACGTGGCTCAACAAGAGTTATAGATGAGTTAGCAAAAAAAAAACCAAGAGTTATAGATGAGCTGGTTATGATTTAAAGTTACGAATGCATCACGGTAAATATGATTTGATATACCATAATTTGATTAGCTCCCGGAAGTTAATTAGTGGCTTTAGGTTTCCTTAAGAGATTTGTTCTTTTTCTTTACGAGCTCTAACGTTGACAAGCATGTTTCTCAATCGAGCTTCATGCACGTGTCAATTGCAAGTTCATATTCGGACTGAAGAATTGTTTTGCTTGTTTTTTCTGCGCATATGTTTTTCTTTTCTTTTTAAGGTTGACGCATGCTTTTAAAAAATAAATAAATAAATTCTTAAATCCCAACGCATGCTATGAAACCGCTTTTAAAGGTGAGGAATAATCCTGTTATTCTGTTGGGCTGTTACATTAAGAAGAAAATAGTTTTGTCTTTTTAAAATAAAAAATGTAATTGCCTTTATTAACTTTTATATTTCATTAGTTTTCATTTTTCTTACATGACATTCTACATACCGCTTAACTAAAATATTAGACTTGAAACCCATAATTCAAGAATATACATTCTTAGAATATTCTGTGAAGGAGACAATTAGATGAACTACATATTTATACATCTTGCTTGGTTCAGGTCTATTGGCAATTTGGTGCCGACGGAGCCACTTAAACTTTTAAACATAGTAGTATCGAATTTGCTATGGTAAGATTTTTTTTTTTAATTTTCCAAAAAAATATGATATTGAGGTGAGACTTTTTGTTTCTTGTTGTTCTTTTTTGTGTCGGCGGCTATGGTAAAAATAATTACATGGTACTTTGTGAATGTAAATAAATAGATAGAAAAATATGTATGAACGAAGAAGAGATGTCCACGTAGGACGGTGGTGGGTCGGCCGGCGGTCACTAATCAAGCGGCGGAAGTCATCATCCCTAAGTGGGTCCCATCCACATTTCCTTGAGTTCTTGGCCGGTGAATTAACTTCTTTACATAACTTTAATTTTTCCCCTTCTCATTGTTATATAGCATATATTTCTTGGTTTTGCTTGCGAGTTGCGATCCTCACTTGAGAAGGACGATTAATACCCAAAAAATATTCGACATGCTTGCTCTGGATTTCTAGCTAGTTTGCACCTTAAACCGTTATAATAAGTGAATCCCAGTAGATCCAAACATTCTAAGATGAAAATCAAATTATAAATTTCATTTATGAAAAAGAGAAGAGAGGTTAGCGTAACCGGCAAAAGAAAGATTCTAGTGGGACCATTGAAGATCATTAACACACTCGTGAGTTGTGAGTTGTAACAATAACACATGTCCAAATTCTTTGTAATATCATTTGATGATAAGTCATTGTAGTTTCTATGGGTTTTATTGGATCATATTTCCATTTTAATTATTAAAGAGTCATGTCAAGTCTATAACAATGACATACGAACTTAGAAGTAAGTATGTGTACTTTATGGGTTGACAAGCCACTACTTGTATATAATGGATTTAGAACTTGAATATGTGTATCTTTGTCGTTTAATTAGTTATATCTTGTTGACAAATTAATATTGTTTTTGGTTGATTACTATTGAAAACAAGGTATAACTACATATACAATTACACATATTATAAGCTAAAGCAAACAAGTCAATATGTGAACCGCCGTCCTATAGATCATTCACTTGCACTTAGCATAGGGATATTAATAAAATAGTCATCTTATCTAATGCCGATTTCGAGAAGAATAGTTTGAACTCGTAAGTTCTGATATAAGTAAGTTTAAATTATACATATATAATATGCCAAAAAGTTATATATATATATATATATATATATATATCTTAGTTGATAGATTAAAATCGACATGATCACATTCACTAGTACTAAGAAGGACTAATAAAACATAAACCAGTTTTTAACTCATCTAAGAAAATACTAAACAATTGTGCACTTAGAGCTCCACTAGACATTTTAGGCTGAGTTTTAACTAGATACATTTTGAGGTTGTAGTCGCTACATAAATTCTATGATCACAACTATCTAGCAAAAGAAAAAAAAAATTAACACGATTGATGTGATTAAATCATTAAATCATTAAACCATAACTATTTAATTATATGGATTATTAGCTGATTTTGAGTGGTAGTGATGAAAGAAAATAAGATTTTTGTGTCTAGAAATATGGTGTTGCATAGAAAGTGATTTTACTACATGTATATATAACTGCACTTAGCTTTTCGATAATCTATTGTGTGAGTAGAGTTTTTGATATTGGAGCAATTTGAGAATTCACAATCTGCTGATATTATCATTTATATCGCATCGGGTGAATGAAGAGAAAACATAGGGAAAACTATCGTGATGATATGACTAGTCGACAAATACTTTATTTTAGCAGCAAACTAGCTGCATACGATGATATAATCCACATGCTTAGAGTGGACCTAAATACGTGAGGATCCACATACATAGATCGTTGAACCGTTGCACACATATATGTTATCATAGAACTATTTTGTAGAAGTCACATGTGAATTTTTTTAACTTGTAAATAGCTCTTTCTAATCACGCAACAATCTTGAGACTCACTCATTCCTTTTTGTCTCCTCCCACTAACATAATGCGTCATACACAAACCGGGCACACATAATATATCTATGTGTAGTACTCTCATTATGCTTATACAAGAAGTGTAATCCACAAGGCTTCTCTGCCACATTACTTAGCATTTTCTTAACATTTTAAATATATGAATGCTTGCTTATCCCACTTTATATATAGAATCTTCCATTGCATATGTTACATGAGAAAAAAATGTTTGTAACAAATGTACGCATGACAAGCATGATATGTTTTAAGTGTTGCCTTGTTGGTTCAATCAATGAAGAAAACGTATTGAACAACTTGTTTGGTTTATTTAAAAGCACTTCTCATTTTATAAAAATAATTCCGATACAATTGGTATGTTTCTTTTTGTTGCTGTATCGATTTAATAGTTTGACGCAACTACATCACTGATGATCAACTATGGCTGACACGAGATAAATGATAATGATTTGTGCTTATACGATTGGAAAGACCCAATAATAGACTAGATTTTGAAACCGTGAAGAAAAAGAGACTATGATTGATCATTATATATGATAAGAAAGAGTATGTATTTATGTACTGTAATAGTATGAATTTGAGAAATAATCATATACGAGAAGAAGATAGTAAAAGCTGAAATAATGTCATTGATGGGTTTTACAACAGCAAGCACTTTGGTCTTGTTTGCGAGTCATATGTGAACTAGTTGGGTTTTGATATTAGGATGATTAAATTAATTATAAAAGTAGAGTAATATAATAGAGTAATATAATCAATGTATATATTGAGTTATAATCATATGAGGTTAGAGTTAAGGTTATTATATACTGGCCACGTCCAATTCTTAGCAAAGAAAAAAAAATTCTAATATACACAAAGAAATATTCTTGAGATGTAAATACGTTTACAAGAAAACGTTTGAAATTGATTTTTTCTTACAAAAGAGATAAATTTACTAAAAGAGTTTCATATGATGAATTAATAGCGAATTACTACTATTTGACATGTAGAGGTGGCCTGTTGTGGATGGATGGTTGAATTATTCAGTATTATTTTTATAAATATTCTTATAGTCAATTCTTAAATTTTTATGTATAGTTGGTGAAAATATAATAAAAGGGACTATCATTTTAATTTTATTGTTTGTACTTTCTTCAGAAAATGAAGTTTCTGGTGGGAAAATACACCAATTGTTACTAGATTCGTGCAATTGACTTGAAATTGACTAATGATAAAAGCTATAAAGTAAGGAAATGTGAATTACTGGTGATTGCGGATAGTCCACGTACGTGATAATTAATTATAGAATAATAATACAGTAGGTTTAAAATTATCGATTGGAGAATGAAAAATTAAGATAAACAAAATTTAACTAACAAAACAGATAAAATAAAATTATGTCAAAAACCAAATTTATAATATTTGTCAAAATAAAATGGAAACTCATTGTTACAAAAGCTAAACTAACAAAAACAAATATGTAAGTTAATAATGAAAAAGTTAAATTAAGGAAATTTATATCATATATATTTTAAATGAGTAATTTATTTAGCAAAAATGTTAAGGTTAAATTGTTATATAAACATATCAAATTGTTATTTAAGACTATCAATACTACAAAAAAGCATTCATGTTAAACTAACAAAAGAAAAAGTCATCTAAAACTTGATATTTAGCTAAATTGTTTAAAAAATCAACACAAAAATCTTAACTAACCAAAAATAATATTTTATGCTAATTACTGAATAAAGTAATATAAAAAATTTTACTAACAAAAAACAAAACAAAAATTATTTCTTACAACATGTCAATACAGTTAAAATGAATATCCATATCAAAAAGTTAAATTAACAAAGAAAAAAAAATTAACTTGATATTCATGCTATTTATCTAACAAAATCAATATAAACAAAATAAGTAAGAGAATAAAAAATGTAAGTCATACTAAAAAACTTAACAAACAAAAAAAAGATAAATATTTAAGCTAACTATTTAATAATCAATATTAAGAAATTAATTAATAAAAATAATAAAGTGAAAAGTAAGTTTTACAAAATATTAAATTTAAAAAAAACACATAAAGAGAAATTGACTTGATATCTGACTAATTATTTAAGCAATTAATATAAAAAAATTTAACTAACAAAATTACAACTAAATAAAATTATATCTTTAAAAATATCAATATTTTAAAATAATTATGTGTTAAAACAAAATAGAAATCAATATCAAGAAAGATAAATTTATTAAAGAATAAATTTGTATAAAGTAAAATTAGTTTGATATTTAGGTTAATATTTTAAAAAATCAACAGAAAAAATTAACTAAAATAACAAATGATGATGTAAGTTTTTGAGAGAAGTTCATTTAAAATTTAGAATAATCAATTATAGTATGTCAAACTAATATTATGATTAAAATAAAAATTAATATAAAATTTTAGAATAACCAGTTCATAAAGCCACAGTGGGTCTCTAGAGAGATAAAGAGCAAACGAAACCGGAAGAGTCTAGCCGTGGGTAGCCCTAGTGTAGATCTGCTGGCTTGAGTGAGCAGAGACCATCCTGAGCCATCAACTCTCTTATCGCCCTCCGAGCAAGCGATCCATTGATCTGTTGAATCAACACACGAGCTCTCGTGTCACAACCACAATAGAGTCTAGAATCCAAGTGCGTTTAAGCACCAAACAATACGAGCAAGAGACAATCTCCCAACATACTTGATGATCAGGAGACCTTAATCATTGACGAAACAAAATACTAAGGTTTTAGGGATTCACCTATCACTCACTACTATCATAAATATTGCTTTTCTCACCGAAATATCGGCTATAGATTGTTGACTAATACAGTTGTGCAGTGATATAATCATAACGAAACATTTAGGCATCTACAATCTAACGGAAAGAAGCTGATGAACAACTCGCAAAATCTGAATACACAGTCATTGAATAGACCCTTCAATACTAAAGGCAAACACTACTGATCAACAAGCACCAACACTTTTTGTCTCCTCCCACTAACATAATGCGTCGTAGTAAGTGAAAATAGAGTAAACCCTAGAGTAGATCCCTAAATCTAACATTCTTTTTTTGGTTTTTTTTTTGTTCTTTTTTTGGTTTTTTTAATACTAAAGGTGGCGGCGGAGCCCCAAGGAGGCCACACCAGAGAAAATGAGTCCTTTATACGCAGCAAAAGCAAGTGAAAATAGAGTTTTCGCACTTGGCCACTCGCATCTCTTAAAATCGAACCTAGACCTAATCGAGCCCTGCCCTGCGTCAATTTCCGATCTACTTCACTTTTGATTAAAATCTAGACCGAATTATCGATGGCTGACGAGAGTTTGCTTAGTTTTTATCCCCGCTTGATTGCAATTGTCGTGATTTATGGGACAGTCTTTACCGGAGTTTTTTGTGGTGCCAGGTCTATTTTCTTCTCGGATGAACGGTTGTTGGGTAAGTATTTCCTTTTTATGATTGGAGATTGTTACAGTTGAGAGAATCTTGTGTTTGTAACCCTAATGAATATGAACAGTTGTGAGAGAAAACGGAGTCACACCTAGTTTAGAGGTTAAGGGTTCTCCTGGATTGAATCAAAGTACAACAAGTCTCTGCGAGAGGATACAGATCCGTGGGTTCCCAAGGTCAGCAAAACAGATGGTGTCCAAGTATACTCATTCCCTCAAGATTACAGTCAACGCCTCAGCCGCTGGGAACACAAGTAACATACACGTTTGCTTCCACAGGTGAGAGACGAGTCTTTCTTTCTCGTCCAAATCAATGTTTGATATATAACATTCTGTTTGATTCTTTATATATATTTTTGTGTGTGTACGTAGGAATTCGTCCCTTGCAGTTGGAATGTGCGCTGATTATGAATGGGAGGAAGTCACTGATGGTTTATGGACTGCGGCAATGTCACCATTCGACCACATACTCCTTGATGTAAGAGTAGCCAACTCATCATCCAATGCCACTCTGCAAGTGTCTACCTTAGAAGGTTACATTCTTGTTTGAATAAAAATCTCTCCTTGTTGGTTTCTCGTTTTCTGAAATCCGTTTCTATATATGCTTTGCAGGATCGTTTATGTATCGCATTTCTTTCTTAATCCTTGGTACCGTTTTGATGACTTGGGCTTCTACACTGAGCACATCGTTAGCTTTTTACTGCGTTTGTTGTTTTGCTGCTGGTCTATTACTTGTTTTCCTGCTTCTCCTCTTTCAGGTAACGTCCGTCTTCAATCCCTTTTCTTCTTTTTTCTTTTCTCTATCGTATTTAAGATTGTGCTTTTGATAGCTGATGATGTGTGTACGTACAGGGACTTAAGCGTCTACCAACTCGACCCAGTTGCTCGGCATTGTTCCTATATGCATCTCTGGTGATTTGTTGTGTTTTTTTTTTTGTCGAAACCATTATCTCCCATTATCCCAACACTCACAAGATTTTTGTTTTTGTTTTTTTGTCAGCTTGGTCTAACTTATGTTAGTCTTCCATACATACCCGGTTTAGTTCAAGATTTTCAAACAATGTTGGGATTCCTCGATATAACCGTACGTAGTTTTTAATAGTGTCAGTACTTACTGATGTAACCTAACCTAAGCTGATGTTAACCGCACTTTGGTTCCGCAGTTTTCAAGGTATTTACAACTGGCTGGACTAATGTTTGGATTCTGGGCTCTCAATTCACAACTTCTTCTTGCTCCGGATGACACCATTGACATTAGCACTTCAGTCTTTATCTCTTGGTGCACCAGGATTTTGGCTGCCGTTTTGATTCTTCAGGTTCTTTTGAATCCAGTCTCCATGGTCAATTTTAAAAGTCCCAACTTTATAAACCAATTTATTTAAAACACTCTTGTCTTGTTTCCAGAGCTCAGGAGATGCTTTGCTTGGTGGAGGAGCAGTGGCATTTGTGATTGTTATCTCACCCCTGTTAAGGAAGATCACCGCATTGATTTTCCCACCACGCGTACGCGAGTGAGTGTTGCGGTTAAATCACAATCTTGAACGACGCAATTTGACTTAAATTAATTGTTTCACAGGACTATCATGTATCTACTGCTACAAATCCACAAGGGACTGACTTATCTTGCAGGACCAACCACCTCGAGACTAGTCCGTCGTCTCATGTTTTACAAAGGTCGGTTTTGTGATCTCTCTATAACCATTTCTCAAACTTAAATGTATGCACAGCTAAAACTTTGGTTTCATGTTAACTTTTTTTCAGTAAGGAGGCAAGAGTAAGCAATGGCCGTGTGTAGACAGCATTGTCATTATGGGTCTTTTTTTAATTTATTTTATTTTATTTTAAGTGAGTTCACTATAACGACGAATACAATGAAGTAATGTGCAATGTCTTGGTCTAATTCTAATCTAACCCGTAGTTGTGCCAGGTGCGCATCATATAATAGAAGTAATTTGCAATTTGGGATTAGATTCCGTTTTTCAGGTTTTCTTGTTCTATCATTTGTAATTTGATGGATGTGTGGTGCTGCATTTGCAGGAACATTGGCAAAGGGCATTGACTAACATAATAAACACACTCTCGTAAGCAGTATCTGCAAAAATAAAATAAAATCAGGATCAGATATAGCGTATGCATAGTCATATTAATAGGATCTCATGGAACTTACTGTACAGCCCAAAGGGCTGATATGGATAAGATGGATTGATATGCTTTTTTAATCCAAGTTCTCGTGGAATGCGTTCGAATCATCAAAACCAATTTCTTGTTTTCTTTTATTTAAGGGGGACTCGAATTTTGAAATATATACGAGAGAATCTAAATTCTATAACTGGGGAAAATATATAAACCAAAACCAAAGTCGTATTTGTAATTAGCAGACTTTCTAACAAAATTCCAAAATCATTTCCCGGATAATTTTCATTGTTGGGATCGTAATTTAAACAAGACCCACATGAACATCGGCAGTAGACTTTCCACGTGCCAAACTGACCGGAGCAGAGTCAAATAATGCCAGGGTGTAGGCACGTGATGAACATCAGTGGCTCAACGGTCATATTCAGAATCAGCAAACTACAGGCACGTGACAAAGAACGGGCCCCACCCACCAATCATCCTGCTCTATTGTCTCCTTCCCAATAGTATTTATTACCCTCCAAAACGAGTGTAGCCTTGATTAAACCATATTTAAACATCATTAATGATTTGCTTTTCGCTAAACGATAAAATTATTGGTGGACTCATGTTTTTCTTTTTCCATGTTTGTGCTTAAATCACACCCATCGTTATTATTATTATTTTTTTATATAGCAGAAGAAGAATCAAACCCTCTTTGGCGCGAAAACATAACTTCACTGAAGCGGGCCCAACATGCGTATAACCCGGCTGCGTAAATTACGTTGACTAAACGCAACTAAAGCGATATTGAAAATCTCTAGTGGGCCAACAAACAACAATTTAATTCGAGTTCTGGGGCCTAACAAAGACTTCGTAATCCCCAATAAAGACATTAAAGAAGCTCCAAAGACCAATAATAATGCTGAATTTTTTAATATTACTTCTTGTTTTTTGTTTTTGACTAAAAATTTAAATCAGAAAAGAAAAAAACGGTTAGGCCGGTGAGGGTTGATCGGCGGAGGAAGGAACGTCAGGACCAACACGACAGCCTTCAAGCATGAAGACAATGTCGGACATTGTTGGTCGGTCAAGAGGATCCGTCGCCGTACAAAGAAGCCCGACTTTGATTCCTAATAAGAACTCTTCCCATTCCGATGATTCCGGGTCTAGTTCGAGTAGCCCCGGTTCTAGCAGCTCCGTCACTTGGCCTCTCTGAAGCTGCTTCTTCACCCATTTCACTATATCCTCGTCTTGTGTGAACATTACTGGTCTTTTCCCTGTTAGGATTTCGAGTAGGACGATGCCGAAGCTGTAGATGTCGGATTCTCTTGTGATTTCTCCGGACGACGAGGCTTCTGGTGAGACGTATCCTAGCGTCCCGATGGTGGCTGATGTGACCGCTGTTCTCGATGGTGATCGAACCGTGAGACGGTCAAGCCCGAAATCGGATAAATGGGCTTCGAAGTCAGCGTCGAATAGTACATTCTGTGGCTTGATATCACCATGAACCTATAATTGTGATAAGAGATGTTTCATAAGAAACCTGAAAGTAATGTTATAATGCACAATGTGATTTGAACCATGAGAAATTCTTACCAAGTTGGATTGATGGAGGAAACCGAGACCACGAGCGATCCCGAGAGCTATGAGGTGGCGCATTGGCCAGTTTAGAACATGACCATCTTGGTGGGAAGCTTCTTGGAGCAGAGTAGATAAGTTTCCGTTGGGCATGTAGTCATATACCAAAAGCCTTAAATCTGGTGGACCGGCGTAGTAACCTCTAAGGACCGTGATGTTTCGGTGCTTCACTTTCCCTAGGACTTCAGCTTCTTTTTTGAACAAGTTCTCGTTTAGGAGTGAGCCATTGGGTAAGCGGCGGATAGAGAGAACCATCCCGTCGTTGTAATTGGCTTTGAATAGCAACCCGTATCTGGTTCTGCTAAGAACGTTCTCTTCGTCGAATTGCCGTGTTGCTTCTATTGTTTCAGCCAGAGTAATCTTGTTGTTGAACATCACTAGCTTTGGTTCTCCGTTTTCTGTGCTTGACCGGCTCGTGCTGCTACGGACTCTACTTCCTGCGCTTGTTCTTCCAGGACTTCGTTTCTTCTCTCCCGTTGTCGACTGTTGTTTCAGCTTCTTTCTCCATTTCAAGAGTGTGTAAATGTAGAAGCAGCAGAAGAGTGATAAAAGGAACGCGCCTATCGCAGCCATTACTATCATCAGAATCACTTTCCTTTTCTTCTTCTTCTCTTCCGCTGAGCTGCTTCTACATTTTCTGTTTAATGGTTTCCCGCAGAGCTCTGTGTTACCAGAAAATTCTGACGGGTTGTTGATTCTTGAGCCTAGAGAAGCTGGAATCTCTCCTTTGAGGTTGTTGCTTGAGACGTTGAAGTACACCAAGTTACTTGAAATAAGGGCGAGGCTAGCTGGAATCTCCCCGGTCAAGTTATTAACAGAGAGATCAAGCTTCGTCAAGTTTGATAAACCTGACAAAGATCCAGGTATGACTCCTGAGAGATGATTGTGGTCAAGTGACAACGAGTTGAGGGACGAGCTCTGAGAGATTTCTGGCGGGATTTCACTTGACAAGTTGTTCCGACCCAAGTCAAGCACCTTCAGACGCGAAAGACGAGAGAGATCAGCTGGAATATGACCCATTAGCCTGTTCGATCTTAGCTCGAGAACTTCAAGAGCAGAGCAGTTTCCGATTTCAGATGGAATAGAGCCAAAGATAAGATTATCTGACAGTGACAGAGAAACCAACAACCGAAGAAACCCGAAAGTCTGCGGTATCTGACCGGAGAATGAGTTAGAGCTAAGGTTCACGTACCTTAAGCTCACCAAGCTACTAAACCCTTCAGGTACAATCCCGGAGAAGTTGTTCTCCTGCAACGCAATCACTTGCAAGTTGGGCAAACCAGAGAGCTCCACCGGAATCTCGCCGGACATATTCTGCTTGCTTAAATCAATAGACGTTAGCTTGAACAGATTGGCCACACTAGCTGGTATCTCACCGGAGAATCCATTCCCACTCAAATTCAGAAAGCTGAGGTTACTTAAGTTGCTGATACTCACTGGAACTTCCCCGGAAAACTGGTTTCCGCTGAGATCCAGCTCAGACAGATTCGTCAGGGCCATCAACTCCACCGGAAAACTCCCATTCAAGTTGTTTTTACCCAAGTTTAGCCGATCAAGCTGCTGCAGGTTCACCATAGACGAAGGAACATAACCAGAGAAGCTGTTTCTGCCTAAAGACAGGACCTTTAATGCCTTCATGTAGCCTAGAAACTCTGGAATCTGCCCTGTTAATCGGTTTCCTTCGAGATCGAGGAGCCCTAACGAGCCACATTGCTTAATCTCAACAGGAATCTGACCAGTAAGAGAGTTATTAGCCAGTTTCAGTTCTTCTAATCTCTTCAACTTACCGACATCCGGAGGAATCTCACCGGAAAAGGAGTTTCCAGAAACATCGAGATTCGTTAGCGACAAAATGTTTGTCAACCACATCGGGAAACGGCCGGAGATTTTATTTTCCCGGAGATCCAAGACCTGTAAACCGGTACGACAGTTGGCTGTCTCGGGCCGTACCAAATCCGAGAAAGCGTTGAAACCTAACTGAACAATCCTAAGCGAAGTGTTGCAGAAGAGAGAAAACGGCACAGTACCGGAGAGATTGTTGTTGGAGAGCGTGAGGACCTCGAGGCTTGGAAGAGCTCCGAAAGCGGCGGGAATCACGCCGCCGATTTCGTTCTCCGACGCGCTCAAGTGGACGATGGAGGAGCAGTTTGAGATCGCAGACGGTAATGTCCCTTGCAGGAGGTTGAAATCGAGCCAGAGATACTGGAGGCTCTGGAGTCTGCCGAGGCTCGCCGGAATCTCGCCGGTAAACTGATTGTACGAGAGATTTAGGAGCTGGAGCTGAGTCAAGTTAGCAAATCCACTCGGTATCTGACCAGAGAAGGTGTTCGACGAAATGTCAAGGAACTTGAGGCTCGATGGTAAACCAACGGAGATCTCCCCGGAGAGACGGTTTCCGGCGACATTAAACACTTCAAGCGATGTGAGATTCCCTATCCCCGGAGGTAGCTTCCCGGAGAGTGAGTTGTACTGGAGGAAGACGGCGAGTAGGCGCGTGCAGTAAGCGAGTGAAGGAGGGATCGTACCGTTGAAGGAGTTTGATCGGAGGCTGAGCTTCCGTAGCATGCGGAGGTCAGAGATACGATCGGAGATTCGCCCGGAGAGCTGTAGACGAGGAAGGCGGATCTCGGTGACACGGTGGTTAGTACAGCCGACGCCGCGCCAGTCACATGGGGCCGCCGGAGTTGAGGGGTCCCAAGAAGTTAAAGCACCAAGAGGGTCATGAAGGTTGAGCTTAAACGCCTTGAGGGCGTCAATCTCTGGCTGAGAATCAACGGCGCGTGAGAGTGACGGCGCGTAGATCACCAGGAAAAGGAAGAACAGGGATGTTCCCACGGCCATAGAATCCGTCGTACTAAACAAAATGAAAACTAGCTTGAAGAAGGTGAGGGAAGTGTCGCCATGAGTGTGGTTCTTGGAGAGAGAGAGAATGAAAAATTGAAAACCGTCACTGAGAGCTAACAATGAGTAGTAAAGTTAAAGTTTTTAAAGAAGAAGAAGTCGAAACAGAAATATAAAATTTGTTTCTTTAAATAATTTGAAATCCATTTGAAGTCCGCACTAAATCCATGCGTATTGAAAAATGAATTTTGTTACAAATTCGGGAAACATTTTTCTAATCATTAAAATTGTCCTTGCAAGTTAAATAAATAAATAAATAAAAACAGAGGAAATCATTATTTTGTTGTCCTTGGTGTTTCTTTTTTGTCCATTTGCTTTTAAACCTCCGGAGATCGAATTTCACGGCGAGAAATGTCGTCGGAGATAAGTTTTGCTTTACTCACAGCCTTCACGGTGCTCCTGTCATACTCGACCTTGTCTCATGGATTACTGCAGCCTCGTAGGATATCTCATGGTTTGTCCGCAAGCGGAAAGTACTTGACGAACGATGAGCTCTGGTTCAATCAAACCCTAGACCACTACTCCCCATATGTAATCAATCTTCCCGATTTCGTTTCTTATTCGATTTGAATTTCCTTATTTTTTCTTGCGTTAGTAGAAATTGGGAAATCCGAGTCAAAGGGAAAACTTTTTATATTCTGTAATATGATCCTGATTTTGCTGCGAAAGTCCATAAATAGTATTAATCTGGATTGATGCTTTAAATCGTGGAATTCGAATCGGTTTTTAATTATCCTCAGGATCATCGCAAATTCAGACAGCGATACTATGAATATCTCGACCATTTACGAGTTCCAGACGGACCCATCTTTCTGATCATCTGTGGCGAAGGCCCTTGCAACGGAATCCCCAATGACTATCTAAGTGTAAATTTTTTTTAATAAAACATATTCATATGATAATCATTACATCGATAGTTTCTAAAATTGCATTGCTTTGCTTATTAATATGTTCAGGTGTTGGCAAAGAAGTTTGAAGCGGGCATTGTGTCACTCGAGCATCGTTACTACGGAAAGAGCTCACCTTTTAAGTCACTGGACACTGAGAATCTCAAGTATCTTTCATCTAAACAGGCCCTTTTCGATTTAGCTGCTTTCCGTGAATATTACCAGGCAAGTAGTCTTGTGGTCTTTATGCTCTAGAAGCTGCGTCTGTGATTCAATGACCATATGTATTTGGGAATTTTTCTGTGTGGATGCAGGAATCTTTGAATGTTAAATTGAATAGAAGTGGCAGTGTTGATAATCCTTGGTTCTTCTTCGGAGCGTCTTATTCTGGAGCTTTGAGTGCTTGGTTCCGCCTTAAGTTCCCTCATTTGACCTGTGGAAGCCTCGCTAGTTCCGCAGTTGTTCGTGCTGTCTACGACTTCCCTGAATATGATCGACAGGTAAAGCCTTCGTTACAAGTTTGAAACTTAAGTGACGACATGTTGTGTCTTTTCATGCTGATAAAGTCTAAGGTTTTTGTGACTTATTGAGCAGATAGGTGAGTCGGTTGGACCGGAGTGCAAAGCTGCATTACAGGAGACTAATAAACTCGTGGAACTAGGGCTTAAAGTAAACAACAAGGCCGTGAAAGCTCTCTTTAATGCCACCGAGGTCTAGCTTTGTTTGTTTCTGTTTCTCTCTTCTTTGAATCCGAATAGTTATGGAGGTAAGAGGTCGGTCTCGAATCTGATTAAGTTTTCTGGACTCTACAGCTTAATGTTGATGCTGATTTCTTATACTTAATAGCGGATGCGCAAGTTGTGGCAGTAAGGATCTACATACTTGTTCATTTCATATCTATATGATTCTTATTTTATTTTTTTAGTTTAGATATTGATCTTCATAATCTGGCAGATCCAATACGGAAGTCCAGATCAACTATGTGTTCCACTCGTGGAAGCTAAAAAGAACGGCAGTGATTTAGTGGTACTTTTTACCTTTTCTCCCTCTTTTACTCAAGCTTGGTCTGTGTGTATATGATCACTGGTCGAATATGTTAGAACGGAAGAAGAACTCCTTCTGCAAACTAAATTTTGTATTTGCTGATACATTATTTTGGGTGTGTTGATGCAGGAAGCATATGCTAAATATGTCAGAGAGTTTTGCGTGGAAGTTTTCGGGCTAAGCGCTAAAACATATAGCCGGAAGCATCTGCTTGACACTGCGGTCACCGCAGAGAGTGCAGATCGGCTTTGGTGGTTTCAAGTTTGCACCGAAGTGGCGTATTTCCAGGTGGCGCCTGCAAACGATAGCATCCGGTCTCAGCAAATCAATACAGAGTACATTTGTTACCCCTTTAAGTGTCACACGCCTACTTATATATATGCATATAACTGTTTCTATTCATCGTCCACCTTACATTTCTTGCTACACTTCTCATAGGTATCATTTGGATCTATGCAAGAGTCTGTTTGGGAAAGGTGTTTACCCTGAAGTCGATGCAACAAACCTGTACTATGGAGGTGATAAAATTGCTGGTATGTAACATTGAATAACTTCTCGATGCTTCTCTTACTCATTTGCACATTCCTACAGTTTCTTTGCGTCTTCTAATTCTCAAATTTGCAGCAACCAAGATCATCTTCACAAATGGGTCACAGGATCCATGGCGTCATGCATCCAAACAGACATCATCTCCTGGCCGTAAGCCTCCTATTACTTTAATAAAAACCAGATAGCATTAACTCAGACTTAATATATGTCGTTAAGTAACAAGTTAATTATTGCCTGACGAGACAGTGCCTTCTTACATCGTCACTTGTCACAACTGTGGCCATGGAAGTGATCTTCGAGGATGCCCTCAGTCTCCAATGATCATTGAAGGTAGAAATCTTCGGACCTCTCCTCTGTTTCTTTTCGATGCCTGAACTCGAAAGATAAGTACTGAAACAACTGATTAACATATATGAATGTCCCTTTTCCTTCTCGATTTTCAGGTGATTCTAAGAATTGTAGTTCGCCAGATGCGGTGAACAAAGTGAGGCAACATATAGTAGAACACATGGACTTGTGGCTCTCCGAGTGTCGTGGAGAGCTTAGGAGTTCCATGTAGAGTCACACCTCACACGCATAGTCATAACTCATAACACTTGTGGTTTTGGTTCAGCAAATAAATAAAACATCATGTGTATGTTGAAAATTTTTATCATATGTATGTTATGGATTCGTATCTATGAAATCCCTGGAGCAGTTACACGAACGCACGGCATGTATATTGAAGCTCTCAACTAATTGTGAGATAATGTTTCTGGGGGCGCTGTGAGCAAAAGACTTTCTTGATAGATATATTATAACATGTTTCTGAACACTAATCCGTTGTAGTCTAGCTGGTTAGGATACTCGGCTCTCACCCGAGAGACCCGGGTTCGAGTCCCGGCAACGGAGTTCTTTTTGAAATTGAGATCTTAAATTTTGGGCTTTTTCTTTTCTTATTAACGACGTCGTTCATGCAATGAGTCAACAGAATGAAGACAGATGTCTCCTCACTATTTGACCGGATGGAAAATGAATACGGAGGACTAATTTCATCCTTCTCGGGATTTCAAAATTTGACGGTGATCTGACTTCCAACGATTTCTTCGCTTTCATGTTTTGTTTGCTTGGCTGATCGGTGAAGAAAACGCAACTCTTTTGTTCGATGGTGGAGGCTACGTCGAATTTGACGCCGACGCAGAGATATGCGGCCGCTGCATTGTTCGCGATCGCGCTCAACCAAGCGCAAATCAACCAGACTCGGCCGTTGGGGGTCCCGGCGGCGGAAGACGACGACGAAGAGTGTGAAAATCGTCGTTCCGAGGAGAGAAGAAGCAATTGCAGTAGCGGGGATTCTGTCTCCGATGACCCCGGCCTCTGGGTACACGAAACTTCGGGACTTCTTCGACCCGTTTTCAGGTGATCTTCCAAAATCCTCTTTTTCTTTGTCATCGATTCCGGAATCCATTTCTGGGAATTCTTCATGTTTGATTAGATATTCCCTTTCGATGTGTTTGTAATTTCGTTTTTAAATCACAGATGTCTTGATATTGATTCCTCGGCTTGGCTCGGTCTCGAGGAAACGGCGAATTCTTCTCCGGCTAAGCACCACATCGGTGCGGTATGGCTATTTTCTGGAGTCTAAATTTTTAGATGTTACGGATCCGTTATAAGTTGATGAGTTATTTGTTCATAAACTTTCTGTTTTTGATCTATTTGTAGTTCACGAGGTTACTCTCAGAAGAAGCGAGTGATGCTTCTATCGAGATGAAGGAGCAAGAGATGGCCTTAGGTAAAGCTGCTGATGCTATGGTCCACAGCATTCAAAGCTCTTTGTCTATAGACGCTAAGAAGGAGAAGCATCAGGAATACGAAAACGAATGCCGTGAGAAATATGCAGTCCCTGAGGTGAAATCAAAAGATAAGGATGTGAATAAGGATAAGGAGTCTGGTAACACTGCTGAAACAGAGAGTCTCGAAGCGGGTGTAGTTATTATAGATGGAAGCCACAAGCCTGAAGTTGTTGAAGATGACAAATCTGTCGAGGAAGTAACACTGCTTAGTCATCAGAGGAAGATAAATGTTCTTTATGAGCTTCTTTCTGCTTGCTTGTCAGATAAATATCAAGAGGTTAAGAAATGTACTCGGCGTAGAAAAGGCTATGATGCCAGGCACCGCGTTGCTCTCCGCTTACTCGCGACCTGGTTTAACATTGAGTGGATTAAAGTGGTTCGTATAATTATTTCATCCTGAAGTTTAATGCTTTTACATAGTATCATCGTTGTTACGAATCAGCTATATTTCTCTGAGTTAGGAAATGGAATTGGCACATCTCTAAGTTCATGTACTTTAGCATATGCTACCATCTATTAGCATATTTTCTTGTTTTCTTCTTGTTCTGGCAGTTGTTTATTATACAAGAATTTGATGGTTTTTTTCATTGTTATAATATTTATGGATCTTCAATTCGTAGGAAGCAATTGAGACAATGGTCGCATGCTCTGCCATGGCCCTTCAGAAGACTGGTGAAATGATGGATGATGATGCTCAGTCTCCTACTAGTACATGGGCTAAGTGGAAGCGTGGGGGCATCATTGGTGCCGCTGCTTTAACAGGGGGAGCTTTGATGGCCATCACTGGTGGTACGGCGAGTTCAAAGTGTTAGTTAACCCTCTAGATAAGAGCGCATTTTTGATTGGTTGCCTAATTTCATTTGCATGGTTATATTTAACAGGATTGGCTGCTCCAGCTATTGCCGCAGGGTTTGGTGCATTGGCACCAACACTGGGCACACTTGTGCCGGTGATTGGAGCTGGTGGGTTTGCTGCAGCGGCTAGTGCTGCCGGAACTGTTGCTGGCTCCGTTGCGGTTGCAGCGTCGTTTGGAGGTGAATAAGAGTAGATGAGTTCACTTTTTGAAGTATGTGTGCACTTACTATTAGCCACTAGGTGTTTTGGCTTCTCTTCCACAAACGTATTAACTCTCAGTGAAGGAGCGTCTGCAATGTCACTTATGCTTGGTATTTAAAACGTTTTTGTACGCAGCTGCTGGAGCTGGTCTCACAGGGACTAAGATGGCAAGGAGAATTGGGGACCTTGATGAGTTTGAATTTAAAGCTATTGGCGAAAATCATAATCAAGGAGTGAGTGCATATTTTCCCTTTGCTGTTAGATCTTTGTAACACAGTTTTGCATTCTTATGTATTAAATGATGGTTGCGTGTCTCGTGACTCTCGTCTCCTCCTTCATTTTGGAAATCTCATTGCTCTTGAATTTTTCCGTTTCTGAGGGCCACGTTTTTGACTGATGTGTAAACATATGTGGAAATCAATTGGACAGCGGTTAGCAGTGGAAGTCTTGGTTGCTGGTGTTGTTTTTAAAGAAGAAGATTTTGTGAAACCATGGGAAGGGTTAACTAGCAGTTTGGAGAGGTATGTAGTGTAAGAACTTTTGTATCCTGACAGGGAATCAGGATTAGCTGTTCTTATTTACGTTTGTGTCTGATTCTTTAAAACTGTGCCATATCTGCTTCTTACAGTCTGGTCGTTACTATTTCAGGTACACGCTGCAATGGGAGTCCAAGAATCTTATCTTAGTGAGCACTGCAATTCAAGATTGGCTTACTTCAAGTAATTTTTTTTCAGCCTACTAAATTACCAAGTTAATGTAACATGCGAATTCTCTAGGAAACATTGTGATATAGAGATGATTTCCCACAGGACTTGCCATGGAATTGATGAAACAAGGGGCAATGCACACTGTTCTGAGCTCTCTTTTATTGGCATTGGCATGGCCAGCTACAATCTTAGTAGCTGCTGATTTCATAGATAGTAAATGGAGCATTGCTATTGATAGGTAACACCTTTTCCCTAGCGTAGTGTTCAATCTATGAATGAAGATGATGCATTCGTCGAAGCTTTTCAAACTAATGACCAAATCTTTTGAAACGTTTTTTAACTAGAGCCATGGCTATTATAAACTTATTCCCTTCAGGTCGGATAAAGCGGGAAGACTTCTAGCTGAAGTGCTACAAAAAGGCTTGCAAGGAAATAGGTATAGAGAGTTCATGACTGCTGCAAGAAAATTGAATATAATATCTATAATTAAAAGCTGTATGATTCATGTCTTGCGTTGCTTTCAAATTATGGGAATTCAGACCCATAACTCTCGTGGGATTTTCGCTTGGTGCGCGTGTCATCTTCAAATGCCTCCAAACTCTGGCCGAGACAGAACAAAACGGTAACTTTTCATGTGTTACTTAAGAAGGTTGCTTTAAAAGATTGAATCTTTTTGGGGTTGTTAAATGTGCGGAAAAGAGATGGAATATTTCTTATGGAGGTTTCGACATGTCTTAACGTGGCAGCTGAACTAGTGGAAAGAGTTGTTCTTCTTGGAGCACCCATTTCAATCAACAACGAAAACTGGCGAGACGTGAGGAAGGTAATGAAACTCTCTTTTGAGTTCGAGTTCATCAATTACCTACCGAAACAAATGTCGCATCCGTAGAATCGAATCTTAAATATGTGTTTTCTTATTTTATTTTACTGGTCCTATTTGGTAGATGGTAGCTGGAAGATTCATCAATGTATATGCCACAAACGATTGGACCCTCGGTGTTGCATTTCGCGCAAGGTACATACTACATGTTACTTCCATCATTCTAATTTTTTTTTTTTGTGTGTGTGTGTGTGTCTACCTAACTTGTTTTTCCTTTTCTATCGTTATCTTTTCACAGTTTGTTCTCTCAAGGATTAGCCGGAATCCAACCGATTTGTATCCCGGGGATCGAAAATGTAAGCCATCTCTTTCTCCTGTCCGTTTATAGATGGAGTGAATTAATATGTGATCTAAAATAAAGAGATATGAGATCGCTTTCAGTAATTGTAAAGTTTCAATTATAATCGTATCATATCACCTCATGATTTAAACGTTTTACAGGTGGATGTAACCGATATGGTGGAAGGTCACGCTTCATATCTATGGAAAACTCAGCAAATCCTCGAGAGACTCGAAATCGACACTTATTACCCTGTGTTTCGAGACACTCTCTAACGACTTGTATATCAAACTTCACATGTTTGAATCGCATACGAAAAGTATTAAGTCGTTATACATTAGACATTACCCTAAGAGTTGTATTTTGTTTGTTTGTTTGTTTGTCGTCGTCTTAGTTTGTAACGTTCGTCGACGCCGGCGAAAGACGAGAAGCTCTGTTTTGTAATTATTTGTTTGAAACGTCGTCGTGTTGAATCATCCACAACATAACGGAACCGTCTTCGTTGAACGTTCTACTGTTTTCTTTTTTCTATATGTATAAGAAAGTCAAAACTGAAAATGTTGATTATCTGATGATTGTATGTTCAAACTGAAAATGTTGATTATCTGATGATTGTATGTCGGAACAAGAAAAGCGATAGAAAGTTCCGATCATTTTTTTGCGAGGCCATAATGATGTAAATCGGCTTAAGAACCGGTCATACCAAGCAGTTACCACCTCGCAGTTACCACCTCGCAGTTACCACCTCGCCCATCACTGCCTCACCCACAAAGTTTATTTATTTACTCCCATCGTCACATTTCTATTCATTAATTCAGCCCTGACATAACCAAAAAAAATATAGATAAAACAAACAAACAAAATTAATACTTCAGCCTTGACAACTCATCGAGTTCTATATAAATTTGTCAATTTCTTAATTTTACGACTCCGTGACAAATATCTGTCGTCGAGAGACTACTACTTATTACCTACCCGTTTTCATTTTTTCAACGTTTTTTTTTTTGGTATATCTATATATTTTGTTCGAGTCAAATTTATAAGATATGCTTCCCTGAAAAGTTGACGAAACAAAGTGTAACTGCAATGTATTTGCTGATATCATAGATAGAAAAAAGGGAGTCAAATCCTTCTTCTCATTTCAACAAATTAATGAACTTAAAAACTATTTAAAGTGATGGAGCTAGTTGAAATTAAATATCTTAGCCATCTAAAAAAATATCTTAAGCTATCTCTTTCTCTCGTCCTTCAATATGGCCAGTACATAATTCATTCATTCGATGATGAAACAAAGATTCGTTTCCAAGTGAATATTTAACAGATTATTGTCAGAAAGGGTATCAGATCGCTTTCGATCAAACAATAATTGAAAGGTCAACAATGATTTTCCGACTGGTGTAATAATGTTTAATGATTAATATTGGAAACCATTTGATATGTAAAATTCACCTCTCGATGTCAGTATTACATGTGAACAATGTGGTGGAAGGTCACTCCTCATATGTATGGACAACGTAGCAAATCGGAATTTGACAAAAAAACAAAAAAAAAACGTAGATAGAATGGTTTTTTGTAAGCGATTCAGACTCTAAATTTGAAAAACTTTATTCACTCTCGGTTGTTATCAAAATTTTAAACTTCTAATTCAAAAATAATTAGCAGTAAATATAGTGATATGTATTTATATTTATACCATATGAAGCTATTAACGCATGTCTTATTAACAAGATTCTAACATTGGATTACTTCACATTTTGACTAGATCTCACATGTTCCGACTTACAGACCACACTAGAAGGTCATTAATGGTACGTAGACATTAAGGGTTTTATTTTATTTTGTTTGTTTGTTAATTATCATCGTCTTTGTTTGTACGTTCTTCAACGCCGGGGAAAGACGACAACTTATGCGTTGTTATTATCCGAGGCGTCACCGTGTTGGATCCACAACCACATGTTACCGTTTTTTCTGACCATGCTGATATTTTTTTCTACTTTTCTTGTTCCGTTTATGTATAAAAAGAGAAGTCAAAACTGAAAAAATGACTAGAAGTTCGAGACTTTTTTCTTTCGAGGTCATATTAAATTTGTTTTAAACTCGGGTTGCCTTGCTAAAAAATAGCTTTAAAAAATCTTAGTAAGACAAATAATATAAAGCAGAAATAAGAAAATTTGAAACAAGTGTCTCATTTAGTGGGTGTTAATGTTAAATGTCTTCACCGCTCGTGGTCCATCCAACTATCCAAGTGAGAATCAATTCAGTGGTAAATAAATAAACAAAAACCAAGAGATTTTTTTATTTACAATTATAACCATGCATCACCTCATTGTTTCATAAAATCTATTTCCAAACCATCCCATCAGTGCATTTATTTCATAAAATCTCTAAGCATCCTTACCAAACCAACTTTTAATGGAAATGGGGTCGCATGGCTCATTTGTCCCTATACATATCCCTACAATCACAGGTAAGAAATCTTTCTGATAGATGATTTAAAACAAAAACATAAAACAAACGCAATGTCAATTTTCTGGTGATATTATTATCACATTATTAACTTGAATAGTTGATGGGTCGAGAAACTGTCTTCTGTAGATGACATATCCTACTCAAACCAACCTCTTTGCAAACCCGTGGCTTTAGATAGTTAAGCTTTAAATGTAACGTTTGGCTTAATGCTAGTTTTAGCGATGACTGATTCATTCTTCACAACTCATCGCTTGTCTACAAATTTGTCATTTTCTTATGCTTCCACCACGAGAAAAAATATATATGTCAAGGAATCACCGCTGGTTAGTTTCAGCCTTAAGTTATTGAACAGTATATGCAATTATTTTGTGATATTCAATAGTCCACGTAGTGTACGTACGTATGTGTTATGAATGTGCTACGTGTATAGCTACGGAAAATCTAACTAAGTAACTGTAATTTATTGATTTCGTCAGGGTAGTTGAAGTAGTGATCAATTACTAGTTGATGCATTCTGGTTGTTGTAATATTTTATAAGTGAATAGCTCCGGTATGGATTTTGACATCTATCTAGAAACCTGTTCATCGATGGTGTTCGAATTAAGTAATTAACACATACGTAAGTGATAGGTGCATTTTATTGTACTATTTAAGGTTTTCGAATCCTTAGATCCCTAGTAATACGTATGCAATGGGCAAAATTAGCTGTAACAAAAAAAAATCTTATTTTTTACCAGTTACATTTCATTCAAGGGAAAATCTTCAGAAAAGAGAAAACGAAACAAAAGCCATCTTATGTTTGATCCAAAACACACGTGTACTACTACACATACATTGATACATTATATATAACATCCACAAATCTTCAGGGTTACTTTCAACTTTTCACATCCCTTCCAAGAACCCATACCAAACTCCTTCCTTTTCTCTCCGGTCACGTGCCTCGAACCAGTACTTAAACAGCGCAAATAAGGCGCGTGCTCGGGACGGCGAAAAGACGCGTGGCTTTAGGAGCCGTGAGACCAAACACATCACTCATGTCAAGCTCGCTTGGTTTCATCCCATCAGGTAATTTCCACGTGAAGCAATGTAATATATGAGCCACGGCTAACTCAAGCGCGTATAACCCGAGCTGCATACCCGGGCACGACCTACGACCCGACCCGAACGGTATAAACTCGAAATTACTCCCTTTGAAATCCGCTACCCCCGGTTCCAAAAACCTCGATGGTCTAAACGTTTCCGCGTCGACCCAAGAATTCGGATCGCGTCCTATCGCAAACGCGTTGACCATAACGCGCGATTTCTTGGGAACAAAGTAACCGTCGATCTCCGTGTCCTCTGCGGTTTCGTGGAGGAGGAGTGGGATTGGTGGGTGTAGCCTTAGGGTTTCTTTGAGTGTGCATTTAAGGAAAGTCAACTTCTCGATGTCTGATTCTTCCACGCGTCGGTCAAGTCCGACCACTTCGGCGAGTTCTTGTTGGACCCGTTTTAAATCCTCGGGGCTCCGTAATAACTCCGTTAAGGCCCACTCTATCGCCGACGCTACCGTCTCCGTCCCTCCAAACATAACGTCCTGTTAAATAAAAAATCAATTCACATTACGCTTGAAAGTTTATAAATAAATAGTAATTAGCTCCACGACAGTAAGTTTTTTACGTGTATTATATAAAACCTTCCATCGTGACTATTTTTTTACATGTTTAGTGTTGATCAGGTTTTATTGGGAAAAAAAATTAATGATTTTTCCTACTATCAGTAACTAATATTTTTCCTACTATCTGTAAATGATATAGTTCCCTAATGCTCACGCAAGTTCTCTAATTCACGTAAGAACAGAAAGTTAGCTTCCTAATTCTGACAAAAATATATAAGAGAAACCAACTGGTTTATTGGATAAGTTTTTATGACGTAACGCATTAAGAATCATGACTATGACTGGTGCCTTTTGAAATATAATTACCATGATGATTGCTTTGATATTGTCACGGGTAAGTTTGATGGAATTTTGAAGATCCGTTGCCTCGCTCACTAATTTCGCCTCTTCACTGTAAAAAGCAAGAAGATCATCAACCATATCGGTATCAACAACATCTCCATCGTCAACAGTGTTTTGATTCTCTTTCTTGTTCATATGTTCATCGATGATATCGTCAATAAATCCGTCTAGATCGTTACGGGCCTTCACGAGCCGCTTGTTTATCCCTTGTGGATCGATCCACCCGAAATACGGTATGAAATCCGCCACGTTGAAAGCTCCAAAAAGCTTAGAGAACTCTTGTAAGATTCTTATGAATTCGTCTTGTCCCTTTTCGCAAGCTGACCCGAACGCTGCCCGGTAAGTTATGTTTCGGGTCAGAGCGAAAATTTGCTCTCCCACGTTTATAGGCTTACCTACAGTTTTTTGGTTGAATGTTAAAATACATACTAAAATAATGATTTTTTTAAAAAAAAAATTTACATATTTAACCGCACAAAGCTAACTTACCAACGTTACTAGAGACCGACCGGATCATTTTGTCCACTTCATCTCGAACAGAAGCCCATGACTCAGCTCGTTTACGGCTAAACACCTTCATGACACACACTTTTCTCATCTGTCTCCAAAACGGTCCGTAGTGAGCGAACGCCATGTCGGCTCGGTCATAAGTCAAATAGCTTATAGCTATCGTTGCGGGTCGGTTCGAGAAGACGCTGTCTTGGACTTGGAGGACTTGTCGAGCCACGTCAGGTGATGAGACGGCGTACATATGGAGGAATCCCATGCGGAGATGGCACAAACCGCCGTATTTTTTTGCTAAGTTGGCTAATCCACGGTGAGTGAGTTGGTCCATCATTAACATATTGCCTATGATGGGCCAACCACGTGGACCGGGTGGGTACGACCTTCGCCGTCGTGTGACGAGGCCGGTGAAAATGAAAAGTGAGACGACGATGAGAATAGCCGTCGTGGGATCTAATACTTGGCTTAGTGTTTGTGATATAAAAGACTCCATATTTTTTTTTTTTTTCCTTTTCTTTGTGGATGGTCTCAGGAATCGATCAGGCAAAGTTCGCCATTTTGGGATGTGATTAGAGAGGTAGGTTTTATAATCAAATTGTGTGGTCCCATTTATTGACATATTTTATATTTATCTAGTGTGACTTAGTTTTCTTCATTCATATATGTCTACATACACATTTTTCTTTGTTGTTTTTATTTAATATGGGAATATATCAGACGCATTTTAATGGATATTCTGGCATATATATATATATATATATATATATGAAATTATTATTGATTTTTAGTGGATTTTAAATTAGTGGACTGGTGAAATTTAAAAAAACTAGCTATTGAAAAATGAATTTGTGTCTTTTTTTTTTGTTTAAGCTGTGGATTTTAATTTCACCGATATGACATGATTCGTCATATAAACTAAAATATCCATTTAAATTCACAATTGGTGGTATAGATATATTTTTGTCAATATCATAATAATTTGAAGCAATTAAAAATAAGAATTACTTAATTAAGCTAAATTATTAAGTTGTTAAACAATGAAAGATAATCATCATTTTTGTATATAATAAAGTAGATAAAAGCAAAACGTGTCACCATCTTATTTCTTATAAACGAAGAAAAAAAAAACATTGTAAAAGAAGAATGTCATCGATATATCGTAAAGATGACTTTTCAGTTAGGTTAAATGCATACAAACTCAAATATTCTTTCGAAATAAAATTAGAAAGTAGCGGTAAAATTTATACAATTAGCATCGAAACATGAATAATTCAATAAATTTGTACCTCTATAAAGAAAAAATTAAAACTATTAAAAAGGTTAGATTATAATGTTTGACAAACAGTATCTACACAATAATATTAAATTATAGAGAATATTGCCACTACACATAAATGAAGTATTTGTTTTTTTTTTAATTATAAAAGACTGGATTTTAACCAAATGAGCTGCTGGTGTTAACTAAATGGAGTATTTGTTTTTAATAACAACAAAGTTAATATCCAAACCGACATTACTGAAGATCACAAGTGTACTTGTGACTTCTATAGTTTAAAATATGGAGCACGCAATTAATTATTAACATTAACCAGTAGCACTAAATCTTAGACATTGGTACGAATGGCCACAGGCGCGGCCCACAGCAGTGAGTACACAAGATCGATTCATTCACTACAATTATAGAGTACTCCCTTTTTTAATAGCTCGAAATCTTAGACATATAGACTGACAAGGTTCCCTTCAAAAAAAAAATTAAAAATTTATCGAAAAGGACAAGGTTCTTTTGGCATCTAAATTAATAGTATACTGTACGGGTTTTTTTGTTTTGTTTTATGCATAGCTGTATTTGAATTTGATATGCCATTCTCATAATGATATTTGATCCGAATGGTAAGGGTTATATTATTTCGTGATTAGAAACATAAATTATGTAGACAAAAAATGCATTTGATATGAGATCTTCCAGCCATGAGAGAATAGGAAGGAAAATCATTTGTATATTTCATAAAATTTTTAGGTCAAATTTTTATTTTTCTGTCTGCTTAGTTTGTCTTAAAAATATATATTGGTCCAGTTGATTCTAACTTACGAACGGAATCCGCAAGTCCGAGTTGTGTTATTGGTAAACGTGTGTTATATGGTTACTACCCAAAAAAAAATACAGCTTATATAAATTTGATCACGATTAACATGCACTACTGTTTTAAAACGTAAGAATTTTAATTATAAATAATTTGTCCATACAAGTCCGGATTAGTGCAAAATCGATTTGACTAAACCATATACAGATATTTTCAATTTTTTTCACAGAAAAATAATTGATGAATTAAATGATATTTTGACTGGTAGTTTTAATTATTCATTTTATTTATGAAAACAATATGTGTATGAGGAATCTCTCAAATTGAAATACTATATACTAAGTTCAAGATCAAGTCACGCTCGTATCACGAGGGTGCATGTTTGGCACTTGGCCAACTCTGTAGTTCTATATGAAATCATAAATTAATATAGATGATCACATGTCTCCACTCTCCACGTTTCACCAGCCAGTCAATAGTATAAAACCATGCGTAATTTCTGGATTTATTGACGTAATCGGCTTTCTAAATGGTCAAACTTATAATGGGCATAAATGATAAAACTTGCTTTCACATTAATTTCGGCTACAGATATAGGATTTAATTATAATTAATCTGGAGTCTGGTTTTAGTTTAAATTGAAGACTGATGATGTTTCGGGGCAAAAAAAGGACTGATGTTTTAGATTCAGGATTTTGTTTCATATTTCAAATATATCCATGTGTTATATAATTTACAATATGATCGATTTAGAATTGGGTCACATCGTGGCATTTACTATTAGTTCTTTTCAAATTAATTAAGAGTTCTGAACTGAAACTTGTACCCCAAGGTCCCCAACAAAAATGCATGTAATACTTTTCAAGTGAAAATCGAACCGGTAAAAGCACCTAGACAATGCCACTATACCACAAGACACACTTCATGTTGTTCATATCTGTTGATGACCAGTGTTCACATCGTGACATTTCCATGTAGAACATATATCCATAACATATTGTTTATAGTTACCGATGGGCGATGACCAAACTTTATGGTTTGTGCTTATATCTGTTTGTTTGTTTTTTTTTTTTTTTTTGCAGTATCTGTTTAGCACAATTTTATATTTTATTATTATCTAACATCTAACGACGTCTTTAGTTTATTGCTCAGTTGAATATGATCAAATGTGGGGCCATATATAAGCTCATATTGACAATGAGCTGAATATCGTCGTTTCTAATTAGCTGGATCAGATCAACTAGCATTTGTGAGGTTTTTTTTTTAATCCTAGTTTAGTAATATACTTAATTAAATCGAATAATATATTTGATCTTATAATAGTCTGTTCTTACCAACTTTATGTTTTAAAAAAAAAAGTATTCGTCTATTCCCTACCAACTTTATATGCCTTTTTAAACTATTTAGTGACTGCAATATACCAATTTACCTACATTTGCATCTTAAACCAATTTTGGGTTGGAATAGTAAATAAAATTTCAAGTTTTTAAATGTACATGATTTCATGAAATCTAAAATAAAATTTATGTATTTACAAATATTAATTAAAATTCACATATTAGATTTAAAAATTAGTAAATTTTACAAAAATATATAAATCTTATATGAAATTTTATAAACACTTGAGTTTGTATTCGATTCAATATGATAGATAAGTATTTTATTTTCACCTTAAAATCTAAACTCTTCGCTCTAAACATATTCATTAAACATTATTTTTTTTACTGTGCGTAAATACGATAAAGTAGATAGAATCATGGACGTTAGACATATTTAATGCCACGAATATATAGCTAAATGCAAATGCTTTTTAAATTATATATTATATATACAAATGTTTTTCAAATATGCATATATACCAGAAAACAAATGTATATTTGATCTTGTGTTGTCTACTGTGACACATATATTTGTAATATCTATGTTAATGTTTGTTAAGTTACCTTGGCATCATAATCTGAATTAAACATCCATTCGTTCATAATATTAGTATTCTTCAATAGAAATCCTCTAGAAAGTAGAAACTCTTTTTATGTTTTGCATTTAAAAAATATCTCCATACTATTAAAATTCCACAAAAACTGATTTATATTAAAATCCAAAACGTTTAAGAATATTTTTTAATATAATTAAAAAGTTTTTAAATTATAGAATTGTCTATTTTCGAATTTTCTCATAATTCTCATTTTGCTTTTTCTTTTTGGACCCCCAGCCAAAGGGACCGATGTCCGAAGCCAACCGCTATTCGCAAAAGGACATAGATTTCCTTTTCACCTCCATTAATAATTTAATACTATAATAAAACCCATATGTATTTAAAGACTAAACTTTTATTGCCATATTTATTTATCTTATTAAGTCAACTCGGAAATTCAGGTTAATCAGAAAATAGAATAAAAATAAAACTGTAATAATAATATATATTTTTTGTTGGAAGAAAGCAGCTCAGTAAACAACTTGTTTTCTATGTACCTGTTTTGATTGGGTGATTAAGTTTTTTTGCGGTTCGCTTAAAGCCTTTTATAAAAGGTTTGCTAATTATATCAATTTCAATCCACATTATTTCTTTCACTTTTTATATTTATTTCTCTTCCAGTTGCCCCAAGAACCCTTAGATACACCAAATGTTGTGTCAGAATTTTTATATGTCTACTCTGACATAGCTAATTACAACTTAAACATTAAACTATGACGTTATATTATTACCAACAAAAAAAAACATTAGACTATCTTATTCCAACTAGTATAAATAAAAGTACGTATTTAAGCCCCCCAAAAAAACTAGTACGCACCTAACAGTTTTCATTGGTTCACATATGATATCATAAAGATATGATTCACGACATTTCACATGTCCATATGCTCTTTGAAGTTTCGGAAACATAAACGACGATATATATAATAATCTAAATATATATTCATATCAACCTTAGGTTCTCTTGCCTGTCACCATGTGTTTAGTCCTCGATGCGACAATGCCTAATTAACTAACTAGATAAACACTTTCTAATTCTATGACGGTAGAGTAGGATCACTCGACTTTTCACCGCCTCGATTAGAACATTTTAACATTATTTATCCATCTTAGAAGGTCTTTCACATCACTCTGTGTATTTATAATTACCTCGATGAATCACTCCTCTCGAATTACATTATAAAACATATTTAACAATATAATCTCACCGACATAATTGAAATTATAATTCTGATGATATATACAATCAAATCAGGTCCTCAAGAAAACACAACAAATAACTACGACACTGTTATTTTTTTTCTTCAAAATATTACAATAGACATCAATAATGACTAGTAAGAGAGAGAGAGAGAGAACTCTGCCAATACGTGATTGTAGTATTATAATACATTGGTACAGTATTACTTAATAGTTAGTATCAAATTAGTTTATATGTGGAATTTGGTTTTATTCCGAATTGAACCATTGGACCAATATATAAATCAATCTGTTGTTAGCCAAAAATATTAATAAGAAACACATCTTAGCCTCTTAGGTCGCTATTACATCGTCATACCGTCATATTTACATAAAACCATTAATTATACGAATACAATAATAACAGTTATTGTCCATCTTAAAAAATGATGGAATATGGATTTCGGCCTATCATTTATCTCTCGGTGCGTTTGTGATTGCCGTCACTTCACGCGTCTCCATCGTTTTTTTTTCTGGTCAATTTTCTTGTATATGTTTTCAACTTTTCGCATTTATTTACATAAGTCTTTTTAATTTCTTTTCCTTCGTTCAGGAATTGTATGAGACAAAGGTTGATCCTTTTTTGTTTTTCAGTATACAAACTCAGTAGTTCATAAATCTGCTAATCGTCAAATATTTTCACGTTCAAATCTAACTAAACATCGAGACATCGGATCTATAACATTTCGACTAAAATCGAATAAGCAAAAACTGTATCTTTTTATGGGTGTTTAATGCCATCTCATCTTTTGTTAAATCATCATAACGTTTTGACCCTACAATGTTTGCAGATAAATATCCCAAGTACTGAGAACCTTTGGGCCTAACACTGTCGGCCCAAAGTAGAAATGACACAAGTTGGATTGATTACATGGAGCACTGAATTCGAATTTGAACCGGAAATAAAAAATCAACCTACAATTTTAAGGGTTTTATTCTGGAAATTCAGGACCATAATCCGATCGAATCTATCTTTTGTTTAATAGAAACCAATGAACATGTGAAATTAGTCCTTTATTATTGGTTGAATGATATGATATCAGTAATTTTAATACGGTCCTTTTAAAAATCAGGAAAATGAAATCGCATGCAATGTAACATTTTGGTACTACTAAGAGAAAGGTATATTACATATAGGCAGGACAATTTAGATCCAACCAACAGTCGTGAAGCGTCTTTGTGTGAGGACATTATCAAATTAGGAGATAGCGTAAACCAAAAGAGAAGCCATCCCTAAAGAAAAATTTGTTTCGTAGGGTACGTTAGACAATACCCTTTTGGTGCCAACATTACCTACTATATTTAGATATGTTCTTTATTTCCATTTATAAATGTGTCTTATGTTGTTGACAACAATTACTTATGTCTATGTTACTTTACTTAAATCCCACATGCATTTGCAATGAACTCCTATACGAACCAAATTAATGGCGGTTATCTAACTGTATTAAATGCCAAAGGACGTAGATTAAAGTTCCAAAAAAGGGCTTAATTAGGTTTTTTATATTCGTAAATATAAAAAAAGAAGAAAAGAAATTGTATCCTTGAATCGAGTGTAAATCGCTGGACCATCATCTTACGCGTGAAGCAATTTCTATAGTTTGGCCACTCTATGATAGATAGATAAAATGCGAACAAAGTTTAATAATTGAGGAACCTATACTTATATATCTACTCTCAAATTCATATTTTTCAGCTTTTTATTGTAAACTAAAGGGAAATAAAAAAAAGTTGTAGTAGGTTCCGTATGAGAGATGCATGTGCATGAGATTAATTAAAATAAATGCTTAGGCTTAATAGTCAGAGTGGAGAAGACATAGTATATAAAGGAGAGGAAGGAGAGGGTGTCGAAGCATATCCTTGAGAAGTCGATATAGTTCGATGAACGATATTGATAAATTAATATGGGGAGTATAAGAGATAGATCATCATCAAGCTTTTTACTTTTCTTGTTCGGTCTTGCGTATATTGTGTTGTTGCTGGGCTCAAACTCCGTTAATGGGTTACGAGACCTAAAGCAGAGAGATGGAAGTGAGAGTAGGTCTATGAGTGTTTCTACGTCTTCAAGCGTTTTGGACTCTAAGAATAAAACGAATGTGTCGACCGTTGGGTTTCAAAAAGCCTTAGTTTATGAGAATAGTAATGTAGACAAGAATGGAAACTGTGAACCACGAGTCGGAGGCGTAGGCGGGGGTGGAGGTGGAGGTGGGGGCGGAGGCGGAGGAGGTGGGGGTAGAGGAGGTGGCCGTGGCAGTGGTGGTGGTGGAGGAGGTGGCGGTGGAGGTGGAAGCGGAAATGGTGGGAATAGAAAAGACAATCCCCACGAAAAGAAAAAAAGAAGGGGTGGTGGCGGTGGCGGTGGAGGAGGAGGACATGGAGGTGGTGGAGAAGGAGGAGGAGGAGGAGGAGGAGGAGGTGGTGGAGGTAGTGGAAATGGCCATGGCCGTGGTTCAGGTGGAGGAGGAGGAGGTGGTGGTGGAGGAGGAGGAGGAGGAGGAGGAGGACATGGAGGTGGTGGTGGAGGAGGAGGAGGAGGACGTGGAGGCGGTGGAGGAGGAGGAGGAGGAGGAAGCGATGGGAATGGCGGAGGATGGGGCTTCGGATTTGGATGGGGAGGTGATGGACCTGGCGGGAACGGTGGTCGTTGTTGGTATCCCGGTTGTGCAAAAAAAGTCAACGGGAAGTCATAATTACAAGCTATGATATGTCTTAAAGCCATGTTTTTTTCACCTACTTACACAAATAAGTCCACTGTTTGTACTTTGTACCCCTTTGCTTCTCTGTTTTGCACTTTTCAACGGCTTAAGAACACAACGATTAATTTCGTTGTTAGTTACCCGTTTTCTTTATATTTTGGGTTATTGTACTTCGATTGAAAAACTATATAATAATTTTTCCAGTTGTTTGTTCTCTCTTCTTATGTCAATCTTTGGCTGATGTAATAAACTAAAATTGAAGAAGTTCCCATTTTTTCAGGAGTTAGACAAAGCAAAGTCAAAATATTTTATAAGTACTTGTGTTTTTATAAAAACTTTAACCGACCGTTAATATACCACAAGAAACTAGAAAATTAAAGACAAAATCCAACTACTAATTTTCATTTGAGGATTTGCTTTAAGTGTGCAAACAGAAGGTATAGTGTTTTTAAATCTCAACAGTCAATATATTATGATATTCAGAAAAGAACAATGTGCTTTGGTATTCGTCAAAAAGGTCATATTCTCTATTTTGAAAATTTACCTTTATAAATAGTTTTCAAACAACGTCGTTTTGTTCCTTCAGTTAAAGCTATTATAACTGAAAAGTTGCAGTTTCAACAGAGAAACATTTACAAAGGTGTACTATTTATTTACAGAACCCAAAATGCAAGAGTGTGAGCACTGAGCAGATAGGCTGTAACGTTATATAACTTATATTGGTGGTTGTATCACGTAAAGAAAAGTCTCTTTAAAGTTAGACGAGCTGTAATATATATTTTAACGATCATAGTTTTTAAATCACAAGTTCTAAAAAACAAATATCTCTAGTTATAGCTTAAATTCTTGAATCTTTGAAACAGCCTACGATCTCTCTGATTCTCAAATCATAACTTCCTACTGACTAACAAGATTACATTATAATGACATGAAATCGGTAAACTGAAAACATCGGGTTTAACTTCAAAGTGTTAAACCCGACCCGGATCCGCCGTTTTCATCAGTCGCAGCTCCAACACTTTCCTGTGGGAGTTAGAGTGAATCTCGGTGGAGAATGTCGGGCTGCAAGCGGGTCTATACTCGGGTAAAAGCCGACCCGACTTAAACCGGACCCCACAAGCATTACACAGCGTCTTCGCACCTAACGGACCCATCCTCCATTGAGGCGTTTTCTGGACCCCACAATGGCTGCAGCACCGCCTCGGCTGCTGCTGGACTCCGACACCGGACGTCTCCTCCGCCTTCTGTCTCCCTCTCCTCTTCTTTCCAGAGTAGGAGGCGGTGGATAGAGAGGTATACGGCGAATCCATAGACCAGATATGGCCATTGGTGCGGCGGCGTTTGCTTCGGGGTTTAACTGGAACGCTCTGTCTCTGAATCTCCACCGACGCGACTGGATTCACCGGAAAATCGCTGCAGAGATACGATTCCGAGAAAGAATCCTGCACGAATTTGGATAACCACTCTAGGTCCTCTAAATCACCAACCTTAACAAACAAAACAGAACAACAACAACAAGAAACAAAAAGAAATTTAAAAACAGAGCAAAAACAGAGTCAAAACAGAGAGAAAGAGAAAAAAACAGGGGAAAGAGAAACAGAGTGCGCTAGTGGGCTCATACTGGGACGTCGAGAATGGAGGTGGCCGGAAAAGTTAAGAGATCGTCGAGCGGTGAAAGACTGGTATTTTGTTCGGAAAATCTCTTAGCTTTCTCTCGTTCATGTTGTTCGTCTTCTTCTCTTTGTGAAGAAGACGACTCTTCTCGTACGAAAGCGTCGGTGTTAGAGAAGTCAAGAAGGTCGTCGACGGCGAAATCGCCGAGAAATGCTTCTACACACTCCATTTGCTTTTTTTTTTTTTAATAAGCACTATGCCACTAGCAAAACCCATGAGTACACTTATTTTAAAGATAGGAGGAGCGAATCCATATTTCAAAAAGTTTGTTCGTGTTCCAATATTGCCATCCTTCCTTTTCAAAATTTAAAATTTTATTTCGTGTCGAGAGAGAGAGACAGAGACAGATGGTGGAGAGTGGACAGAAGTGATTGGGGTTTGTAAGCAAGAGTGCGTTTAGGTTTTGTGAATTTGAGCGACTTGTTTGGCAATGTCTCGTTAAGAATCAACAAACCAAGGAAAAAACATTTACTATTGAATAAAGTAGATACAGCCAAAAAGTTATCTGCTGAATTATATAATAAGATATCAAATCTTCGCAAAAAAACAGCAAAAAAAATAGATAACAAATCCTAAAATTCAAGTTTGTAATATCAAGAAGGCAGACCGAAAAGAAGACATGCCAAGATTTCTCCATAAATAATTCTTTTTTTTGAATTCTATATTTTCACTACATATGCTATTACAAACTTGAATTGTATATACATAATTCCTTTTTTTTTTGTCCTGGTTTTTTATACATTTAAAAGAAAATACAAGAGAAAATGGAAATAAACCAGAAAATAATTGAAATTATGAAAAGGTTTACTAAAATAGAGTGGTACTCTAACGATGTAAGGAATGGGAAAGAGCATTTCAACTTCAGTAATCTATGGTTTCATGGAAGTGTTATTGGGCCAGAAATATCGCCGAGTAATACAACTCTTTTCTATATGTCAATATATATAATAAAGCTATTTTTCTCGTAGGCAAAAGTCAAACGTAAAAGAGAAACTGTAATGAGGTAAAAATAGCAACACATATATTTCTCAGTCGTAGTAACGATTGATGGTTTTTTATGAAAAATACAAAGACAAAAAAAAAAGTAATAATAATTCATACGTCGAGAATAATGATTGAAAAAAAAATGGACTATAAAGTCAGGCTTCGAGGGCCCACTCGACCGTCGGTGGAAGGCCCAATGCGAAACAAACAAGAACGTTATCATTTATTATGTTTTTTCTTTAAATTCAAGAATGGACAGACACAGCATCACATAATGTGCGCGTGAAAACATGGTTCATTGCAAAATCTCTCATTTGGTAACTTTTGATTTTTCTCTCCACAACAATGTCACCATTAGAAAAGAATCAAAAGATCGAAGCTCTTATCATTCAGAGCTTTTAACAAATCTCATAGACGTTAACTGTTTTCATTTAGACTAGGAATCGCAGAAACTCCAATCTAAAACAATATATAGATGGAAACACAATACCGAATTACTGAGTCACCGACGCTGAAAAGGAGATAAGAAGAAAGATTTTAGATGTCACATTAAATTATATATCTTCACTACATATGACCATTTATCAGAATTTTTGTTTTTAGAGATTTATTTATCAGAATGTTGCAACTGAATAGATCATTGGTATATACATGCACTAACGAAATGTATATTTGAATTTGTAAAAATGGACTCACATGTATAGCTTGATTGTGAATACTCAAACACTCATTCATAAGCACATATTTCTTCACACAAAAAAGTACCAAAGACATAAGTGAGAAAGAAAAAAAAAAAGCTGTACCCAAAAATAAAATTTTCAATCGAGTGCAATTTGCAAACACATACATTTGTAGGAGAATTTCGAAATGTTATTAGAATCATATAATGACTACTAAGGTTTACGAGCAGCAGCGTACAAAGCATACGTAAACAAACGTTTGGATTATAAATATATTTTACGATATTTTAGTCAATTGGGTGTTTGGTCTAGTGGTATGATTCTCGCTTCGGGTGCGAGAGGTCCCGAGTTCGATTCTCGGAACACCCCTTCTACTCCTCATTTCATTTTATTTTATTTTCCCTCTGAAGTAAGTGAATTACTGCAATATACGGCGTACCCAGATGGGTGAGTCAGTTACCTGGTAAACTGACTGTTACATTTACCCAATGGGCCGAATGGGCTTAATGCAGATCTGTTAAAAGTAGAAAGGTGATTGCCACTGGCAGAGAAGCAACAGTAAACAATGAACTTTTATATGAAATCCTGATCGATAATTATATTACTGGAACTTGGAAGCAAGATAAATTGCTAACTTTTATGTATTTTCTGATTTCGTTCTCTATTTCCATCGGTAGCATTTTTTCCACAATTTTTTTTTTCTTTTAAACTTCTCTCTATAGGATTGACCAAAACGATTAAAAAAAAAAAGTACAGTTTCTAGGCATTGACACGTAAATTATGTGTTTGTAAATCCCAAGCGCAATCAAACAAGCAGTTACCACGATTTAAGTGAGAATAGTACCAAATTGTTCTTTGTCGGTCATGAATCCTGTGATCGGAATAACTAAAAGAAAAACATGTGAAACCACTGTATTATTTTCTCCCTCAATTTCATAAATCTTAGTGTTTTTTTTTTTTGATCGAATTAATTTACGACTTTTTTTTGCCAACCATTACGTAAGAATAATAACAGATCTACAATTGGTCCATTGTCCACTCGACAACCTGTAAATTAATTATAGTAGTACTATTGACGTTTCAGTACGCAAACCTATTAAAGTTCCAACCACATTTACAATCTAGATATTAGTATATTACTTACCCCACATTTTTATATCACATATGCTACTACTTTACTCAACATAAAAACAGCTAATTAAAAAGATATATATAGATATGAACTTGATAGTTGACAAAAATATGAAATTTTGATATTACAAGCGGTGAAGCATTTAATGTCCATTGTCACTACCATACGTTCCGGACTTTGTTAGGTGAGACAATAGAGACACCAATAAGTGTCACCGATTCTTTCTTTTTTTTTTTTTAGTGTCACCGATTCATATACTTGATATAATCTAAAGTATTTGTAGAAAATATCTAACATGTGCAATTGAAGAACTGTATCATCTATAGCATTTATTTCATCGATATGGACTTCCATCTTCATGATAACGATCTTTAAACCTAAGATAGCAGGACCTATTTAATGTTTACCTAGTTTTTCTTTCCTTTTTTAACTACCACCTATAAGTGGGTGGATCTTGAAATTGAAACCCTCTAGCTCCAAAAGAGGCAATCGAACAGACAAGAACAGGGCTTTTTAGTAACCAAACTCCGCTTCTAGTAGAGAGAGAGAGAGAGAGAAGCCATGGAAGCCATGAAGGAAACTGTGGAGCAGAGTTTGAGAGAGATGAGAGAGACGTTTGAGAGTGGAAGGACGAGGAGTGTGAAGTGGAGGAAGACACAGCTCGGAGCAATTATCGAGATGGTAAAAGACAACGAAGACAAGATGTGCGATGTTCTGTTTCAAGATTTGGGCAAACACAGTACTGAAGCTTTCAGAGATGAGCTTGGTTTTGTCATCAGATCAGCTACTACTGCTTTAAACTGTCTTGATAAATGGGCCGTTCCCAAAAAGGTAAGAACCATACACTAAACCTACTGTAGTATGAGAATCTGGATTCGGATTAGGACAGTTGAGTATCGAGAAAGATCGATCATTTTGTTTTTTTGATAATTGATTTCTTGGTGCTGAAAAAACAGAGCAACCTTCCTCTTTTGTTCTACCCAGCCAAAGGGCAAGTAGTCTCAGAACCGTATGGGACAGTTCTTGTTCTGTCTAGCTGGAATTTTCCTATATGTAAGGTTTCAGATCTTGAGATTAGTTTAATGTTTATTAATATACGAAACTGCTAGAAAGACTTTACATTGTGCTTTTTATATTTTTGTGTGGTCAGCTTTGTCTTTGGACCCATTGATTGGGGCAATATCAGCAGGAAATACCGTGCTTCTCAAGGCATCTGAACTAAGCCCTAACGCATCTGCCTTCCTCGCCAAGGCAATACCGTCTTATCTCGACACTAAAGCCATCAAAGTTATCGAAGGAGGACCTGATGTTGCGACTATCCTCTTGCAGCATCAATGGGACAAGATCTTCTTCACCGGTATTAATCAATTAACCCAGCATCAATAAGCATGTAACGGAATTCGCGTAATAGTTGTTGTTGTTTGTTTGTAGGGAGTCCAAGGATTGGGAAGATCATAATGGCTGCAGCTGCAGAGCATTTGACTCCAGTGACATTGGAGCTTGGTGGAAAATGTCCCACCATTATTGATCACCGCTCCGTTTCAAAGGACATGAAGGTATGTGCTTTGCTCTGTTTTTCTTAGCTCGGCTTTGGTTGAAACAGAGACTCATGATCGTGAAAGTGTCTGAATTTGATTTATTGGTGATGATAGTCGGTTGTGAAGAGAATATCTGGAGGAAAATGGGGATCCTGCAGTGGACAAGCTTGTATCGCTGTAGATTACGTTCTTGTCGAACAGAGTTTTGCGTCTTCTCTGGTACGTGTAGACACAAACGCAAACGCAAACTCAAACGCAGACGCTGTTTATGTAGTATCTCTAACTGTGTAATGGTTTTCTATAGATTGATATGTTGAAGCCGACGATAAAGTCTTTCTTTGGGGAAAACCCTAAAGAATCTGGATGTCTCTCCAGGATTGTCTCCAAGAAACACTTTCAGAGATTGTCTCGCCTTCTTAATGACCCTCGTGTTCAGGCCTCCATCGTCTATGGCGGTTCCATGGATGAAGAGAAGCTGTATGCTTTGAATTAATCATGTTTCTTGAAACCATACGAAATCTGTTCTACAAGTCCTCTAACCTAAATTTGTTTGACAGGTATGTTGAGCCAACGATCTTGTTGGATCCTCCTCTTGATTCTGAGATAATGAATGAAGAAATTTTTGGTCCAATTCTCCCGATTATCACAGTAAGCATATTTAAAGTGTACAGTCATACAGATTACTTAGTAGACATTTGAGCAATCGTTGCTGATTTTTGCCTATTTCCTCTGATGTAATGAAGTTACGTGACATCCAAGAAAGCATAGGGTTCATCAAGTCAAAACCAAAGCCACTTGCCATCTATGCATTCACCAAGGACGAGAACCTTAAAACTAGAATCTTGTCAGAAACATCCTCCGGAAGTGTTACCTTCAACGACGTCATGATCCAGGTACATGATTTGTAAGCCATCTTCGTTTAGTTTTCTCAAGAGGCCATAGTTAGAAACCAAAACTGACTGAGAACTTTCCGTGGTTAAATTGCTTCAGTCTAGAGTTTTTTTTTAGTGCAACTTTGGATTTTGAGTTTAAACACACAATATAGAACTTTCTCATATCTTCAAGTGTTGAATGGAATTGCAGTATATGTGTGATGCGTTGCCTTTTGGAGGAGTGGGAGAGAGTGGAATAGGAAGGTATCACGGGAAATACTCATTCGAATGTTTCAGTCACGAGAAGGCAATAATGGAAGGAAGCTTAGCAATGGATCTTGAAGCTCGATATCCTCCATGGAACAGTTTCAAGCTCAAGTTCATTAGACTCGCATTTCGTGAAGCTTACTTCAAGCTTATCCTCCTTATGCTTGGTCTCAAAAAATGAAATAAGAGAGTGAGAGAGTGAGAGACGCCCACACACACACAATATATATGATGGATTCATATCACTTTTATGTTTGATTTTCATATCTTCACCTAATAAGTTTGGTTTTAAATGTCATTCAAGCTTGGGATATTCTATATATATATAAGTTTTTGCATCTGTTCCTACCGAGATACATTCTTTGTCACCACGGTATATTTGTATCCAAAATTTCATATTAAAACTAATTGAAAATTTTGTATTTTTAATCTGATTGCAAGGCAACCACTGTATTTTCGATGATATATGTCAAGATTAATTGGTTTAAAAGCTCGATTAAAAATTCCATTTTTATTTTTAAATTAGGCTTTGGCGAACTAGATATACATATATATCAAGTACGTGAAATGATACATAATTATATGAACCATTGGATTATAAAATGATTTATAATGTGATACCTCATTAATTATTCATTAAATTTATTCTAGCCATATTGTGATTTTATATGGACCACTCGACCGTAAACTGGTGGTATACATGTATACACAAACACACATACACAGTAATATACGTACATAGGTCGTAATATGTATGTAAGTAGTAAAGGTGTGTATGCGTGTCTTGTCCAAAGAAAAGAAAAGCTGATGAAAAGTATGGGCACACACACCACAATAGGTTACTGCATCACTGAGCCAGTTTCATCCCCACCCTAAGTAAAGCTCTACCAAAAACCCTAGCTAGGTTCTCTTTTTATTTTACATATATATTTAGTTTTTTTTTTGTTGGTACATCGTCCTTGCTTGCCCCTCTTTATATCCAATCTCTGCAACATTCCTCATTATTATCAATTTCATATTTCTCTCTCTCTCTCTCACTCTTTGTCTGCCTCTGTTTATGTCTTATGTATCATCTTGAAATCAAATTCAACCAGAAACCATACCTCTTCTAGTTGTGTCCCTCACTCTGGGAGAGCTCAAAATCAAGGAGGATGGGTAACTTGCGATTCAAGGCACGTTCCCCGGGCTAAACGACGTGAATTTCAGGTGCTCTACTCGTTTTGTTTCACTTTCTTGATCTTTTGGCCACCAAAGTGAACCATGGACATGTATACATAGTTACACACGAGTCTAATTACCCACGAAAATAGGATTAAGTACGCTATTTATACTTGATGTCAAAAGAAAAAAGTAATCAATTCGGCTGAATATGTGCACAATTGGATTAGCTAGAAAGGTTTACAAGTTCTATGAATACGAGCTCTTTGATTATGAGTTCACGATATTGATGCACATCTTATTGTTTCCTCAATTCGGCTGATGTTTTTTAGAAGAAGACAGTGGAACACAACAAGAATTAGCTAATTTTCGTTATTGTAAATATATAGTTTTTTGGTATTGTACAAACTATTATTGCCGTTGGGAAGACGCCATAAGAAGAAGACAATTAGTGTTTTAAATTTTGTTACTTGTGTGATTCGGCATATCATTTAGTGTTTTGTATAACGTATAAAGTAATTAAGTAAAACTAATTTATAACTCTACGAAAGGTTGTACGTGAGTTTTCACTAAATCTTACGAACAATAAATAAGCTCTAAAAACTAATTGGTTTTATCTACCAATGCTCACACCATATAGGGATGTGATCCAAGAACAATTCGATCATATGTATATGTAATTAGTTAGGATATAAATATACATAAAATAAATTACTCCCTCTAAAAAAATCAAACACCAATTCATTGTGAAGTAGATCGATCGAACACTATGAGTGTAGAATTGACAATATATAGGACCGGCCGGCCAGTACTATATGATTGTAACTTTTTTTTTTTGGTTCAAATATGATTGTAACTTATGTTTTGAAAAACTTTACCCTCATTTGCTTTCTTGTCGTTGTCACTATTTAATTCACTTTAATTAAATTTAGCTTCAAATCTTGATAGATTAATGTCACAGTATGTAAAATAGTACTTGATGCTATACGAAGACATAGTTCTGAGTATATTAATCAGGTAGACTTTACTAGACCTTGTGAAAATAATATAATTTATCCAATATTATAATATAAGATTTTATCGAGTTTATCCAATGGGAGAGGCAACCGGCAACGTCGGCACAAACATGGAAAAAAACGTATCGAGAACCAAAAAACTTACATGTTTATATAAAACACAAATAATCAATATTTGATCCATACAGTGTAAATATAAATTTAAACACATACATTATACCTAATAACAAACAGACATGCAGATGTTGATCCGATTCGCAAATCAACTATGTATTACATATGATTGATGAAACTAAACAACACAAAAAACACATTACATGCATATATAGAAACAGCATATATAAAATCAACTCGAGTTCTTGATTTAATCAAGATCTTGGTGGGTTTTGATAGAATTGCGTACCTGGTGGCACGAACATAGTCGTCATGTTACTTGAATAGTAACCACCAGAATTAGGATCTAATAACATCGCTGAGGATCCTCCTCCTCCTCCTCCACCACCGTCGGCCATTGCCTGTGTATTAAACGGATTTCCGCCATTTGCGGAGGAGCTTTGATGATCGCTTCCACCACTGTTACCACTCATGTAGTTGCTTTCAGGGCCTTGGTCATATAGAATCCCTTTGAAGAGATGACCTCCGATGTTCACCGTCGTTTGATAAGCGTATTGACCATCTCCTCCGTCGTCTACGCCGCTCATTTTTACACATCGGAAAAGCGCATCTGAGCTCACTTCCGGCGGAAAACTTGCGTCCCCCATTTCTAACCCTAAAAACATACACATAAAGTTTCACACACTAACACACAAAAAAGCAACCCACATAACAAATAGATTGTTGCGCCGGTTGTTTTTCCTTGGTCGCGTTTGTATTTTCAAGTTAAATTATATGTGACTATTTTAAAACAGAACACACCAGTTTATGTTTTTTTTTTATCAAAAATCTTTTGCAAATTGCAAACCTACGGAATTTACACTTTTAAAATGATGTCTGATGAAAAAAAAGTATAGAATGTTGTTTTTTAAAAAATGTAATCAACAAAATTTTAAGTTGTAAATGGAAAATAAACAGAAATAGTTGTGTTTAAAAGCAACCAATCCGAGTTTGAATCTTCTAACAAAACACTTCAAAGAAACTTATAGTTTAAACTGTATAATCAAAAGAAATCTAAGATTAAAAACCTGCTGAGTCGGATGGTAAGCGAGATGAGGATGCTCCCGGAAGAGTAGTGTCCCTATGGCGTTTAGTGATACTCGAACCGCCGCTACCACCGCCACCTCCACTGCCGCTTCCGCCGCCGCCTCCAGATGTGGACATATGAAGCTGCTGCTGTCTCTCACGGCGTCTCGCAACGGGGATCCACGTACTCCTCACGTGAGTGGAACAATCGAATCCACGGCTCTTGCAGCAAGTCCTGCAACGCATGTGAGTGCAGTCTTTCTTGGCTTGGTTTCCACAGTCTCGACAGCTTATGGTGATAGATCTTGATGATGTGGCCAAATCAGAGACGTCGATCTGATGACCTGGATAAAGATCTAAGCTTTGTTGCTGTGGATGTGGTTGATGATGATGCATGAGCATTTGCTGCTCTTGTGGAATCTGCCATAGGCTCGAGCTTGGATTAATATTGCTGGTGTTTGTGTTTCTATACCAAACCCAATTTGTCTTTTGTTGTTGTTGGTTTTCTTCTTCTTCTTCGTCTCCGTTGTTGTTGTTGTTTCCTCCTAATGTGAATATCCCAGCCATTTCCTAAGACCTAACACTTTAAACCCTAATATTGACCCAATAATATCCATAATTCAAAAACCCTAATTACCATGAAATCCCAAGCCTATTTTCTCCTTCTTCTTCTCACTAAAATTCAGCTATTTTTTTTCTCACGTCTTCTTGCTCTTGGAATCTTAATTTGAATGCTTTCCAAGATCTCTTTCTCTCTCTCTCTATTGGAACAAAGCTTATTTCTTGGTAGTGAGTAGTTGAAGTGAGAGAAAGTAAGAAGAAGAAGAAACAAAAGAGAAGAAAAAAGAAGAATTTAAGTTGTCTGTTTATGATTTCTGCAACGCCGCCATGGGCGTCTTTTAGATTTCTCTTTCCTCTGCTCTGCTCATCCCTAGAATTTAAGTCTCTCTCTCTCTCTCTCTCTCTCTCTCTCTCCCCCAACACTCTGATTTGGGTTTTTGCAGATTCTATGAAAACCAAAGTGAAAAGCTTTTCTTTCCCCTTCTCACTTCGGCTTTGTCTGAACAAAACGCTTCTAGTTCTGTCCGTATGAAAGTAAAAAGAATTAAACAAAGACTCTCTCTCTCTCCTATCGCTTATTTCTCTCTCTATCGACTCAGAGTCTCACACCCACGGGGGATGATCCACCGGTCCTAGATCTCTTGTTCTCATCCCATGGACCAGAATTTACCACGTGGCGAATGTCATCCTAAAACGGAACAATTTAATTATTTCCCTTGAAGTTAACACACACATAATTTTTCCGTAGTTATATGTAGCACATGTGTCCGTACGTATTAGTTGAACGTATTAATTATGGTTAATTTGAAATCCCACGCGATTATAAAATCTTTACCGCTTAACTATACGTTTTTTTTGGGTCCAATCTCATCAAAGAATAATTTTTTGCTCAACTAGATGCTTTGGTTCTCTTCGATCGACTTTGACATAGCTTTAGGTATTTGGAGATCAAACTAAACAATGTTATTATCATCCGAAGCTAAAATAATATTTCCTGACACTATATATATATATATATATATTATATGGATTACGTGTATATAAATTTTAGTATAGCCATATTTAGATTGTTCCAACGTAACTAATGTTGTGATCAAATCAAGACAACTCTTTTCTGTCTTAAGAAAACACCAAAACACGGGACAAAAGTTTTTAACAACAAAACAGTGCTCTCGGCGGAAACCTTCCAACTAGCACGCTTGGAGGCAGAGAGTTGGAAAATGGCAAAGCAAAAGGAGAAAGAAGAAGACGAAGAAGGAGAAAAAGAAGAAGTAGACGAGGAGAACCCCTCGCGGCCAGGCTTATTGAGTATCAACCCCTTGCTCCCCCACGTCCTAACCTGCCAGATTGACGCGTCTTGGATTGAGCAAGGGACAGCTAGTGGCTTGGGGTGGTGCCTTAAAGAGGGAGGGGGCCGTCGTACGTATAGCATGAAGGGATGTCAGAGGAGCTTGTCATCCCTTCATGCAGAGTTCGAAGGTCTCCTTTGGGCGTTATCCTGCCTAAGAAAGCGGGGCTACACCGCTGCTAGGATCGAGACGGACTGCTCGAATCTGATCAAGATGGTTGAAGAACCAATTGATTGGCCAGCCTTTTCTTCGGAGTTAGACTTTTTAGAGTTTCTGCGGATAGGTTTCGAGTTTTTTAGTTTATTTTTTATCCTGCATACTCAGAATGTCTGTGTCGATGCTCTTGCTAAAAAGGCATGAACACGAGGTATTTTTTTTTTCCATGTAAGTCATAATGAACCGACCTGGTTGACTCGTAACGAGCTCCGCCAAACCGGTATACCTTGATTTAATATATAAAGTTTGTTAAAAAAAAAAAAAAAATAACACCAAAACACGGTAGATGTATAAGCTACAAAATCAAAATTTTCGATATTTATGCTATTTGAGCAGACTATCAATTCTTTATACAGTATAAAAACACAATATACTCAATATACATTTACACATCAGATAATCCATTTATCCATAAATTATCTTTCTAAAATTCTGCCTTATTCTAATTCAACTATCCGATTCAATCTATTTTTAAAGATAATAACAAATATATTTATTTTGATTATGAAAAATAATTCTTAATTTGTTTTTTTCCTCTGACTAGCTAGAAAACTAATGATTTGGTGAATTAGTTATCAAAGAATAGACTACTAGTCAATAGTGTATAAAATCATTTACTATGGAATAGATTATGGAACCAGAGAGATTCGGGGCAGTGAAAAAAGAGGCTCTCTTATTGATTGTAACAAATGATCATATTAATATTCGTTATTGAGTTGAGTTGATTTAAATAATCAAAGAGATATATATACCCCCAAAAAAGTGAGGAAAGATGAAAAAAAGAAAATAAAAAGCATGTTACTCTTCGGACTCTCTGCGGCTATACAAGGGAACACTGCGCCACCTACGTGTACTCTTTTTGTATTTCATTCTTTTTACTGTGAATTGCACATATATAAACTGTCTATATAAAAGACGAAGCAATAATGTAATAAAATCTACTATGAAATAAGAAATATTAATTTTTTGATTTGCATTCTTTACGATAACTATAGGAACACAAAATCTATCCCCCCTCCCCCAACAATATATATAAATGATTATGACTAATAATCTCGTAGCATGGTTAAGATAGCTATGGTTAATGGTTTTATGACTTCGCATGCTTATACTAGTTATACAAAGTAAAATATAATATATTTTGTCATTCTATTACTATTTTTAGAAATCAAAGTTATGATGATTGGTAATATTAAAAAATTACATAATTTGAAAAACAAAATACATGCAAAATGAAATGGTAGAATCGCTAATTTTGTTTTAAAATTTCATAACGTCACAAAAAGTACGTAAAAGTATCTAAAGTTGTATAAAAATTGATATAAATTTTGATATTATATGGTCGATATAGTTTACTTTGATATGGATGTAAAACAAATAATAATTTCATAAACAGGTAATTCTATCCAGTATTAATTAGATGTTGATACATCAACTAGGTTTTTACAATTAAAGATGGTGTGGTAGACCAAAACTGAAAAACCTGTTGGATTGGTATGGAATCCAGAAAAGATATACCAAAATCATTTTCAAATCGCCCCTTATAAAACCAGTGTTGTCACATCCGAATCGAATCAGAAACAAAAGCTATATCGTTTTTCTTTTTTGGGTATTTTGGATAATAAATACTACAGACTTGTCCGCGCGCTTGACCACGTGATCGGACCAAATCGAACTCTAGAAAAATCAAAATTAAATTAAATCGGCTGTATGAGGATCGGACCGATCCAGGTTAGTCTAGTCCGAAGGTTTTGGAAACAAAAAGCTATTTAAATTATGAAAGTTAAGAATTAGGAATTCTTTTAAAATGATGAAGAAACAACAAAAAAAAAAGAGAGAAGGGAATGATAAGTGGGAGAGGCCCGAGAAGAAGAGTTCAGTGTCGTTCGCTGTCTGTCCCTTAACCTGTCGAGAGGTCTCTCGAGCCCTGTGATTGCCTTCTCCTCTGCGTTGACTCTCTAAGATTTTATTTTTCTTCATATAATTTTATTCAGTAGTTCATTTTGTTTTTATATTTTATGAATAAATAACATATAGCGCTTGGGGGGAGTGAATCGATGTAAGGGGTGTAAGACAAATAAAAGTTTGTCGTTGCTAAAATGGTGAGACACTGAAAGCTGCTCAAATTTGCATTTTTTCAAGGGTTGTTTTCAAATTCGCAAATATGCGATGCTTATTTAATCTTTTTTTGTGTGTGCTGAAACTATTATTTTTAACAAGTTTCAAATTTATTTATTAAGTTTTGTTTCAAGATTTAATGATATTATATATCCATTTAGTCTTTTTTACCATTAATACCCATCCAACAAAATCCATCATATATACTCGATCGTTTAAACTTCTCATGTAAATGTCATTTTGACGTTTTACACAAAAATACGAAACAAAATTGATATAGTATAAGTTATACCACACAAACAAATGATTCTTAAAACTATCTTTTTCTACCTCTTATTTTTAATTAATTTGACTACAGGGTAAACCAGGTGTTCCAAAAAAAAGATTTATTGAAAATTAAAAAAGTAAATAAATATATTAAAGCGGATGGAGTAATGTCAAACGGATTTTAATCACTATCATCCAACTAGACTTGAAAACCCCAAAAGAAAAAAAACGAAACTATAACTATGAAGTCAACTATGATGCATTCAAAGAAATACAATTTAATGTGAATAAGGAAAATTAAGGAAAGAAATACTACAATTTAATGTGTATTCTCTACAAGGTTTTAATTATGGGAAGGCTTGCTTCATGAAACGAGTACACTTGAGCATACGGGAACAACAAGAACGTTACAATAATGGGGGAAAAATGGAAACTATATTATAATGTAATGGCTGTCATTTTCTCAGCCTTTAAATGTGGCTTTTTGTTGATAATAACATGGCATATTTGAGTCTTTTAGAGAAAAGTCTAATCTATTATTGGATATCTACATCAACCATATAGTAAACCATATCGTTAAAAAGAGAATATTAGTTATGCAACAAACCTAAAAGTATATATCCCCCATTCACCACTCCCATTAAAAAAAAAAACTAATATCTCTTTACGTGAGTATAGTTTTAATTTGAACTAGCTATACATTTTAATATCTACACGTAAAGAAACCGAAACTACAATCAAAGCCTCTATTATACTTTTAAGATCGGCATGGATGTTGTAAAGTTAAAAACAAAGAGCTATGGATCTTGGCTCACTCAATAACCTAATAGGCAATGGATGTTGAATGTTGACTATGGTCCATGCGTTGTTAGTGATTGGTCGGTCGGTCCATATGTTATTGTAATGATGCGAATTATGTTTTTTTCACATCACACACTCATTATTCATTTCATCCAATTGGATGCAAATTATTTTCCCTAAGAAACTAAAATAATTGACTACAGAAGATTCCACTGCACCTTTACCTCCATTTAATGAAAATTTTGTCTAATGAAGTTTGATTTAATTAAGATACATAATGATAACACTCGGGCTGGTGAAAGTGTCCCCACTCTATATATTAAATTAAATTCATACTTTCTTCGTAACAAGCAGGACCACTTCTTAGTCCTTATCAAGTCTAGTTAACTTTGATAGAGAATTGGTTGATACAATCTCAACTTACAATTCTTTGAATAGAAATATTTCCGGAGGCTTGCGTTCGATCCTAACTGTTTTTACTGACAGATACTTACGCTACATACATATGCACATGCTATTCAGCAAATGCAAAGACACCATAATCAAGATCTGAATCAATTACGTACGGTTCTTAGATTCCAGAGAGTCTTAAACGTTTTTATTAAACTTGTTGCATCTCCTTCTTCTTAGCATCCACAAGCAGAGAAAGTTCTGCACATTTACTTTTAGCTTCTTCCAGTTCCTTCCCTAAACTCCTTACCTGTTTTCATTATATACCGATGTTAAAACCAACGTAACAAAAACAAACCAATGTTTATACCGCGGAATCATACTTACCGTCTGTTCCATTTCAGTCTCTTTCTTCATAAATTCCTCGCACCTGTTGAAGAAGGCACAAATCAAAACTGATTGAGAATCCGAGGGAGATGTGAAAAACAGAAGTGAGTGTTTTATATATACTTCAGAAAGAGTTGTAAATTTGCTTCCTTGATCTCTTCCACTGACTTGGCAACGAGGTTGTTTCCAGTATCCTGAGAAGACTTGTTTCAGTTTGTATTTGACCAAAACACGTGAATAAAACTAAAATCATCAAAATATATTCACTTACGGTAACTGCAGGGGAATGGTTAAGCAGCACGGGTTGAAAGTTGCTTCTTAAACCCGTGGAGTTTCTCATATGTGGCGGTGCCACAGCAACTGTACGGCTCGAAGTACCGTTACTAAAACTGATTTCACGTATTATTGGACCACCTTGACTAACTTTATCAGAAGGCAAAGGCAAAGGATTCAATGTATTGACAGTAGGAGCTTGGTCAGGTATTGCTATCCTTTTCGACTTATCCGCAGGAATTTGATAAGAGCTGTATCCGAAAACGTGGCAGTGGCCATACCTGTTTTTCTCCATAACAAGCAGTTGAGTAATAGTCAAACAAAGGTACTGCGGTTTGGAACCAAAATCATATTGAAAAGATACGGAGAGATGATTGGAAAAAAGGTTTTGAAGAGGAAGAAGAGACCAGTAATCAGTGAAAACCTTCTTCAACCTCGCCTCCAACCGCTGGAATAGAGACGACCTCTCGAAATCCTGCTTATTGTGAGAAGGTTCTATGAAGTTTGCTTCAAGAACTCCTGCAGGAACAGATTTTGGTTAATGAGTCTCTCTCCTCCAGGTATTTCCCTCAAAGAAAACATTTTCAATGGAGTCATCAAGGAAATGAATCACTATACCGACAACGCCATAGCCTATCGATGACCCGTCCATGGTGACCTTCCAGAAAGGCTGAAACGGTGCAAGAGAGATCTCAATTTATTCAAGGCATATGAAAAGGTGAAAAATATTCTAGCAGACTAATCTTTTATAATGTTCTATTAAGCATTGCATTCTAATAGCAGAAGTCTGATTTCCGTGAATCGTTAAGTACCAAACTTACTACAGTTGCTTCTAAAGATCACGGAATTGTCTGGTATATGAAAGCCGTACCCGGATGAGACGGTTTTTGTGATATACATTGAAACCGTAAACTGCGAAGTTGGGCGCCTCCTTTATAAATCCAACTCTGATTTCAGTGGTAGCCTGTAAGAAGAAAGCTTAGTGAAATTTTCCTCCCAACCTAAAAAAACCTAAATCAATGTTTGCATATGAAAACACATACATTATATGCAATTGAAAAATTGCAAAAAAACAATTAGCCAAAGCTCCAAGTAACAAAACCACAGAGTAGAAAAAATTCCAATCTGTATTTACCTGTTCCATTGTACCTGTATGGGGCTTGTACATTATAATCTCAGGATATCTGAATTCATCAGCAATGTTGAACTGCTCCACAGGGATTCCCCGAAGTATAATCTTGAAATTTTTGAACTTTTCGAGGTATAACATTGAAGCGTAAGCCTGAAGAACATTGGAAGAGCTAACAAAGTGAGTCTTCAAACATCCTTGGCAGTTGGAACAATGAAATTATTATAAAAAGGAAGAAGATATTCAGGAGATTACCCTCAGAGAGTAACGTAACTGGTATGAAATATGAGATCTCAGTTCCAATTCTTTATGGTGCAACCGTTTTCCATCATGGAGACCTTCATCTCGGAGCCGGATGTCCTTATACAAAAATCGAAGAAACTATTTTAATGCCATACAACTTGTCGTTTGCATTAAGACCTGAACCAAGACACGATATCATCGAGAAATATCATTTAATGAAAAGTGTGTGTTACCACATCGTCGTCGTCAAAGCTCAGCTCATAGATTCCTTCATCATTAAGCCACAAGTTGTATATAATTACTTTTGTTCCATGCGTTCCAATATCCTCGAACTGGTGGGTGGAAAATGGAAATAAACGAATTAATAAAAACGACCACATCAAAATTACACGCGGAAACATAGTCTTTAGAAGGAAAACAACCTGCTGCATAAGATCGGCCTCTGCTGAAAACGGAGACCATTTGAGTAGAATTTCAAGGTTGGTGGACCAATCTTCTAGAGATCCATATATAATTGGCTGTGGTCGCTCCTTGGATATATCCATATCAATCTGAATTGCAGATATGATAACATCACTTGAGGATAAAGAATAGTTGCACATTCTGAAGTTCCCAAGAATTATTTATTTCAGGCATGACAACAAAATCTACAAATGATGGAGTTTATACCATAGGAACAATGACATCATCCTGACCAGTTCTTCTAAGGAATGTGTAAGACAGAAGGCCGACGCTCTGAGTAGGTTTCCTAAAACAGAAAAGATAAAAAAAGCTTCAGAGAAGAGCATACTCCAACGGGAATATGTTGTAGATATATAATTCATACCCTGAACGATTTGAGCGACTAAAAACAATGGCATCAGCTCCAAGTCTCATGGTACTTGTCTTGAAACCATTTCCATCTGTACACAAAAGATGAAACTCTGGTTGGAGACCAAGAAACCAAGACCAGAAATGATCTCAATATCCCATTAACAAATTATAAATACTTACACTGTCCAATCGTTGTATTAGACTTCTTTGTTGAGTAGCCTAAGCTCATGCATTTTCTCATCCCATTGGGATCCATCCCGCCGCCATCATCTTCAATTGCAAAAGAAAAAGAGAGATCATGTCATTAACAACATCCAAAGCCACTCGTTAAGCAAAAGCATCACACATTCATTTAAGAAGGTAAAGTACCTTGAAAAACCAAAGCTGGAGAATGATCCTTGGCAATATCGATCTTATCGATCTTGACAAAAGTAGCACCGTTTTGTATCTGAGTAAAAAGCAAGTCAACACCAACCAAACACTGTACCAATGCTATGATATATGATTCACTCGCAAATGAGCAAAATTTGACTAAGATCATCAAAAATGAACCAAAGATAAAAGCATTTCCTCGCTCACGCATACCTCGTCAACAGCATTGTCAAGTAGCTCGGCTATTGCTGCAATACAATAACACATAAAAATTTGACAAAGATCATCATCACAAAAATTCTCATTCTACACTTCCGAGGAAGTTTTAAAAAAAAAATCACAAATTTATCTATTTGGTTAAAAAATAGGCAGAGTCTATTCTTAGCTTTACCTCCAAAAGCCCATTGGTGTGAAGTAGCATTCGAGTGAAGAAACTTGGGATGAACACGAGCATGCTCAAGCGTACCTGTCGAATTTCGTCTTCATCAAATACTACCACAAACCAAAATGGCGGTGCGTGTGAGTCAATTTGTCTGCGCGACATTAGAGAGATTACCTGAAGCAGCCGGAGTAACAACGTTAGGGATCACAAAGCTTTCTCCGGCCTTCCAGAAGCTCCGGCATTCTAGGGTTTCCACAGGACCCGCCGCCGCACCAGCGATCGTACTTGTAACTTGCGTATTCTCTATTAGAGACGACAAGCTCCGAGACACTCCTCTTCCTCCCCCACCGTCGTCGTCGTCACTGTCAGTGTCAAGACTCACGATATCGGTGACCGGGATTTTTGCATTGGAAGGCGTTTCCGACGAGGACATTGAGACGAGCTCGGGAACGGGAAGCGACAAACGAATTTGAATTCGCGTGATGTTTCACTATTTTCCAGTGAGACAACGTGCCGTCTTTTCCAATGACTATAGATGGTTTTTAAACTTTCGAAACAATAAAAACAGCAAAGCGTGTTTTTCGATACAATTACTTTGCTTAAATGGTGCAGATTAAGATTATTAGCCTAATTGGGTCACAAAGCCCAAATACGTTAGAGCCCAAACCCAAACAATATACATATATAGGTACTATTGTGGCAGGGCCTCAGAAAATACGCTACATTCGCGAGTCTTAACACGTTAGGCTTTTTAGCTAAACTTGTTGCATCTCCTTCTTCTTAGCATCCACAAGCAGAGCAAGTTGTGCGCATTTACTTTTGAATTCTTCCAGTTCCAGTTCTAAACTCCTTACCTGTTTCATTATCCATTTACATTGATGTTAGAACTTTGAACCAATGTAACTAACAGATGCTTGTCCGGTTCAATACCACGGAATCAAACTTACCGTCTGTTCCATTTCAGTCTCTTTCTCTATATATTCCTCGCACCTAATGAAGAAGGAACACATCAATAATCGATTGAGACCCCCAGAGAAATATGAGACTGAAACTAGTTTTTTTTTCATATTGAGTGTATATACCTCATGAAGAGTTGTATGTTCTCTGCACTTATCTCGTTCGCTGACTTGCCAGCTAGGTTGCTTCGGGTATCCTGGAAAGATATCTTTCACTTTAGTTTTCTTTTTTTACTCAAACTTGTGAATAAAACTGAATCATCAAATGAAATTCACTTACGGTAGCTGCAGGTTGAGGGTTGAGCTGCACGGGTTGGAAGTTGCTTCTTAAACCCGTGGAGTGTCTCATGTGTGGCGGTGGCACAGCAAACGTACGGACCGAAGTGCCATTACTATGACTGATTTCACGTATGACCGGACCACCATGAGTAACGTTATTAGGAGGTAAAGGCGACGGACTGAATGTACTGACAGTAGGCGGCTCATCAGGTATTGCTACCCTTTTCGACCTATCTGCAGGCATTTGACTATAACGGTATCCGAAAACGTGGCAGTTTCTGTTCCTGTTTCATGATAAGATAATGCAGTTTGGAACCAAAATCGTATTGAGAAAGACATGGGAAGAGATGACTAGATAAGGTTTTGGAGAGGAAGGAAGAGACCAGTAATCAGAGACAATCTTTCTCAGCCTCGCCTCCAGCCGCTGGAATAGAGAAGACCTCTCAAAATCCTGCTTATCGTGAGCCGGTTCTATAAAGTTTGCTTCAAGAACTCCTGGGGGAACAGATTTTTGGTTCATGAGTCTCTCCTCCAGGTCTTTCCCTCAAACAAAGCATACTCAATGGAGTCATCAGGGAAATGAATCACTATACCGACAACACCATGGCCTTTTGATGCTGCTCCGCTCCCAATGACATCCCGGAAAGGCTGTAAGGGTGCAAGGGAGCTCAATTGATCAAATCATATACAAAAAGCGGAAGCTTAAGTGAATATATGCTAACAAACTTGCTACAGTTGCTTTTAAACGATTAAATGATCATCGAAAACATGGAACTAACTAATCAAAAACCTGCCTGGATGAGACGGTTTTTGTGATAGACATTGAAACCGCAGACTGGAAGCTTAGGCGCCTCCTTGATGAATCCAACTTTAATTTCAGTGGGAGCCTGTAACAAGGAAGCTTAGTGGTTTTTGCTTTCACAGTCTAAACCTTAAGATACAAATTGATGTTTGCATAACATGGAATGTAAGTAGCGAGTAGAAAGAAAGAAAAAAAGGAAGTCTTAGTTTGTATTACATATTCCATTTCAGCTGCTTGGGGTTTGTAGATCACAGTCTGAGGATGTCTGAATTCATCAGCAATGTTGTATTGCTCCACAGGGATTCCCCGAAGAATAATTTTGAAGTTTTTGAACTTTTTGAGATATAACATTGAAGCGTAAGCCTAAGGATAAAGAAACTGAAAAAAGTTAAGTCTTCAAACACCTTTGCAACAGTAGGAAGAAAAAAAAAAGTAAGAGGATAGTCAGGAGAATTACCCTAAGAGAATGTCGATAGCGGTACGATATATGAGATCTTAGTTCTAATGTTTTCGAGAGCATCTTTTTCCCGTCCGGGGCATTATCATCTCGAAGTTGTATATCCTATTATACCAATATATTAAAGAAAATATCTAAAACCCAACTTCTACAAAAGACAAAGGCCCTTTAAAGAATTGGAAGTACCTCGTCATCGTCGTCAAAACTCAGCTCATAGATTCCTTCATCATTAAGCCACAAGTTGTATATAATTACTTTGGTTCCATGCGTTCCAATATTCTCGAACTGGTGGGTGGAAAATGGAAATAAACGAATTAACCAAAACGACCACAACAAAAATTACACGCGGAAACATAGTCTATAGAAGGAAACAACCTGCTGCAAAAGTTCGTCCGCTGTTGAAAACGGGGACCATTTGAGAAGAATTTCAAGGTTGGTGGACCAATCTTCTGAAGATCCATATATGATTCGTTGTACTCGCTCCTTGGATATATCCATATCAATCTGCAGTGCAAATATGATAACATCACTTGAAATCAAACAGCAGTTATCTATTCTTGAATTTTCAAACATTGCAGTTAAATATCCATTTCATGCATGAAAAGAAGAAGTATGCTGAAGGTTTTACCATAGGAACAATGACATCATCCTGGCCAGTTCTTCTAAGGAACGTGTAAGACAAAAGGCCAATGCTCTGGGTAGATTTGCTAAAGAAGATAAAAAATACAGCAAAGTTAAGAAAAAAGAAACAGAGCAGACGCCAAATTCAGAGTGTATATGTACCAGAAATATCAATATACCCCCCACGAGTTGAGCGACTAAAAACGATGGCATCAGCTCCAAGTCTCATGGTACTTGTCTTGAAACCATTTCCATCTGTACACAAAAGATGAAACTCTGGTTAGAGACCTGAATTTCAATGACCAAAAACCTAAGTCCTTTTAACATATCGTAAAACTTACACTGTCCAATCGTCGTATTGGACTTCTTTGTTGAGTAGCCTAAGCTCATGCATTTTCTGATCCCATCGGGATCCATCCCGCCGCCATCATCTTCAAGTGAAAAAAGAAAAGAGAGATCATGTCATCAACAACATGTTAAGCAAAAGGATCATATGTTCATTCCAAAAGGCAAAGTACCTTGGAAAACCAAAGCTGGAGAGTTATCTTTATAAATATATATCTTATCGATCTTGACAAAAGTAGCACCATTTTGTATCTGAGGAAGAACCAATCAACAAAACCAATGCTATTAGCTTTGCAATTTCACTCGCAATATGAGCAAAAAGAGAAGAGAAGCATTTCCCTCGCTCACGCATACCTCGTCAACAGCATTATCAAGTAGCTCTGCGATTGCTGCAAATATCATCATCACACACAAAAAAATTCATCTAAGTTTCATGTAATTGATCGATCATCTTGAGATTTTCGTTTTCTGCCTTCTCTATTTATTAGCTTACCTCCAAAACTCCATTTGTGTGAAGTGGCATTCGAGTGAAGAAACTTGGGATGGACACGAGCGTGCTCAAGCGTACCTGACAAATTTCATCTTCATCAAATACCACAAACCATGGCTGTGGTGCGTGTGTGTATGTATGTGAGAGAAAGAGAGAAGACCTGGAGGAGCTGGAGTAACAGCTTTCGGGATCACAAAGTTTTCTCCGGCCTTCCAGAAGCTCCGGAATTCTAGGGATTCCCGAGAAGCCACCGTCGTGCTTGGAGCTTGCCGATTCTCCGTTAATGACGCCGAGCTCCGAAACGATCCTCCACCTCCTCTATCGTGGTCGTCATCACTGTCACTGTCGAGATGTACGACATCAGCGACTGTAGATGCATTACCGGCGGGGGATTTGGGCTTGATCGGTATTAAATTTGGGTTCCCCGACCCGCTTATAGAGGAAAATGAGACAGCGTGTTGTTTCACTGTTTTTTAATTAGACAACGTGTTGTTTTATAAGTATTATATTTTTTTTTTGTTTAGTGTTTTATAAGTATTATTAACGCGCCTAATTAGGAGCCTAAAGCGTTAGAATATTAAAAATATTTATATGTCACAATACAAAATCAGAAGATTTATTTCCCTTTTCGTAAAGGTAAATATTTAAGTGATAAATTTTGGCATTCAAAACGGAAGAGATTTCGAAGCGTCTAATTAGGATTATTATATGATGATTTCAACAGAATATTCGTGCATGAAAGATGGTCAAAGATTTTTGGGGCGTTGGAAAGAATCCAACGAAATCTAAATTAATCAACCCAAATATAAAAAAAACACCAATATCTGAAACTAATAACTGAAAAGAAACAGAAAACCAAACAGAAAATAAAATAAAGAAAAATGCAAATTATCTAAAATCCTAGATCAGAATCACCAACTTAGACTTTAATGTCGCCGGCAACAGTCTCCTCCTTGGCGAAGAAATATCTGTTATACAACATGATAGAATCAGCTGCGACAGGCTCATTGTCCTGGTTCCTATGCCAAGTGTAAAGCGCATGAGTCTTGTTCTTAATCTCCAAGACTGCATGACCGAAACTCGCCTCTCTATATGCCGAGTAACTCGGTTGCTCGGTGGTAAAACTGAGAAGAAAAAAAAAAACACAAATCATAAGTATCTTAGTTTCAAGATCACAACAACAACAAAGACAAAAAGAAATTCTAATAAAAATATTGTTCTTGTTACCTGTTTGCAATTCCTTCAATGTTTCCTCCATCTCCGATTGTGATGTAGATTGGAGCATTAGTATCTTTCACAGGAGTGCTCAAGCCGTTGGTGATATTGTAGTTGGTGTTAGAGATACGTTCAGATCTCTCATAGGCATGAACGTGACCGGACAAGACCAAGTCAACCTTGCTGTTAACCAACCAAGACTCGAACATTACCCTCATGCTCTCTCCTTCCATGTAATGGTAGTTGTTGCTGTTATACCATGGGGAATGAACCATGACAATCAACCATGGAGTCTCCTCTCTGTTCACCTTCTTTAGCTCCTGGTCGAGCCACACGTATTGGGGTGTGTATTTGCCTGAGATGAGATAACGTGTTACTAAAGTAAACTTTTAGAGAGATTCAAAATCATTTAGGGTTCGTGTGTTACCGTAGGCGGAGTAAGAGGAGAGGACGATAATGTGAGCAGGGCCGCGTCTGACAGAGTACCAAAGAGGAGATATACTCCCAGAGGCTTTGTAGGCGTTAGGGTAACGGTGCGTGTAAGGCTTGAAAGCGTGAGGCTCACCCTGATCACAGATTCTTATCGTTATTAAATCCGAAACCGAACAGAAACTAACTTACGAAAATGCTTGATCAGAGAGTGAATCTTACGATGCTGGGAACGAAATCAATCTCGTGATTCCCGGCGGCAAAGATAAAAGGCTGGTAAGCAGCGCACGGCTCCACGAATCTTCCCCAAGAATCCCACTTTCTCTGGTCATGGTTCGGGTGGTCGTCTGCGTAAGACAAATCTCCGGCAAAGAGAACTGCTTGACCCTTAGGGTTCGACATGTAATGGTACAATGTCTCGTTAGAAGCATAGGTTTGTCCAAGATCACCTACAAAAACAGGACTCGTTACACAACGATATTCGCTAACAATAATTTCAAATCTAATTTTTATAAATCCGTGAATATTTACCAATAATCCCGAATGTGTAGGGAGCATCGGGTCCGACCTTCGGTGGAGTTGTGAAGTTGAACTGTCTAACGGTTTGATCGGTACCAACCTCGTAGATGTACTTAGTATCATACTGCCATGCAAAACAAGAACACAAACATTAATAAACTATTCATGTTGTTACTTTAATAACAAGTTACTTAATAATACAAAGTAAACAAACCTCAAGTCCTTTGATCGTGGCGTGATGAAGATATCCGGAACTGTAGTCATAGAATCTATAAGACGACGTGGAGCCATGAGCCTTCTTCTTCGCCGGCGTCACATCGCTGACGTTACCGGCCATCCAGTACGTAACGACGTTAGTACCAGCTAGATTTAACGGCGTCACCCACGAGATGATCATGGCACGTCCGTCATGATCTCCCTGCGTTATATGCACCTGAAAAAACAACCAACAATACAAAAAAAAAACTCAATACAATCTGATGGTTTGATATACTATTGAAAAGAAGAAAAGCAAAACCTGTTCAGGAGCGTTGTGACCACTAGGAGCGGGGAAAGTTTCGAGAGGCATCTCGATCGACGGCTGAGCTTGCCGGACATATTTGCTTGTTATTCCACCATTGATCAGAGTGGTGATGCTTAAAAACACGATAGAAAGTAGGAAGAGATTAATTATCTTCATTTTTGATATAGATTTGCTCAAGAGTTATAGATTTGCTCAAGAGTTTCTAAGTTTTCGTTGTGGTAAATAGTAAGTAAGCTTTGTTTTCCTTTATATAGTGGGCAAGTCAAATCCGAAGTAGAATAGTTTTTGGTATATACTCGGAATATGTGTTGGAATAAAATCTATTTTGTTTGTTAAGATAGGTATAAGATCAACGAAAGTAATGATTTTGATTATCCAATCTTTATAAGTTCGTTTATTATTGATAAGATTTTTTTATAAAAACAATTTTGTACAAGCTAAATACATAAACTTATATATGAAGAGTACTATATGGTTAAATATTTTTTTCTAAACGATGTAACGAGAATCAAGAATCAGATTTTAAGATTTAAGATTGGAGATATAATTTTTTGTTAACTAACCTTTTTAAATTAGATGTTAAGATAGATTTATAACTTGCACACGAATTTATATTAATAGTTTGATATTTTTTTTAATCTATTACTTTCTAAATTATTAAAACTATAATATATTTATAATATATAGTTTTCTTTTATTTATATTCATAAAATTTTAAATTTTATTAAGTAAAATAATAACAATGATACCTATTAAATTATCTAATTTTGATGAATAGATACATTTGATTTAGAAAAAAATTGTTTTCGATAGGATTTTTACAGTTTTTTTAGTCAAAGATTTTAGACTCAGAAAAAACAAACAGATTACAACTAAAATCCAACCGAGAATCGAGTTAAGGAAGTATTACTCACTAGCTAGGGTATATTATCGAATATTATTTAGTTTTAAATATCTTAATTTATTTATGCTTTTGTAGTAAAAAAAAATGTACTGTTTAAACAAATCGAGTCAAAGGAAAAGTAAATATAATTATGGAAAAGGAGAAGGACAAAGCTAGCGAAGCTCGTCTTGTGCAGGTACGGAATGAGCTTGATGACTTGAGGGACAAGCTTCAGCCTCTTACAACGAAATACAAGAACGAGAAGAAGATAATTGATGAGGTTCGGAGGCTAAAACAGAAACGAGAAGAGCTCACATTTGCTCTACAGGAGGCTGAGAGGCGATATGACCTTCCTAGAGCAGCTGATCTAAGATATGGGGCAATTGAGGAAGTAGATTCTGCAATTGCAAAGCTAGAAGAGAGCTCCAAAGAGAATGTGATGCTTACAGAAACCGTTGGACCAGAGCACATTGCTGAAGTAGTGAGCCGATGGACTGGGATTCCAGTGACTAGACTTGACCAGAACGAGAAGGAGAGGCTAATTTCTCTTGCTGATAGGTTGAGCCAGAGGGTTGTTGGACAAGACCAAGCGGTGAAGGTTGTGGCTGAAGCAATTCTAAGGTCGATGGCCGGACTAGGAAGGCCACAACAGCCCACTGGCTCCTTCCTCTTCCTCGGTCCAACTGGTGTCGGCAAAACTGAGCTAGCTAGGGCTCTTGCTGAGCAACTCTTTGACGATGAAAAACTACTCGTTAGGCTTGATATGTCAGAGTATATGGAAAAACACTCGGTTACTCGACTCATCGGGGCACCACCTGGGTACACTGGTCATGAAGAAGGTGGACAACTAACTGAAGCTGTGAGGAGACGACCTTACTGCGTTGTCCTATTCGACGAAGTTGACAAGGCCCATGTTTCCGTATTCAACACGCTACTTCAAGTGCTAGAAGATGGGAGGTTAACAGATTCGCATGGGAGGACAAGCGATTTCACAAACCCTGTGATCATAATGACTTCAAACCTTGGCGCTGAGCACCTTCTTTCAGGGATTTCAGGTAAAGTGACAATGCAAGAGGCTCGGGACCGCGCGATGCAAGAAGTGAAAAAACATTTCAGGCCAGAGCTGCTAAACAGATTGGATGAGATATTAGTGTTTGATCCTCTGTCGCAAGAGCACTTGAGGAAAGTGGTTCAACTCCAGATGAAGAATGTAGCTTTCCGGCTTTCTGAGAAAGGTGTAGATTTGTCTGTCTCAAATGCTGCATTGGACTACGTTTTAGCAGCGAGTTACGACCCGGTACGTACATGTCTCTTCTCTTTCTTCTCCTTTATAAAAAAAGTATGTTATGTGTTTGAGTTGTTACATTCTATAATGATTGATTGGTGTCTCACTTATGTTGTGTGACTATATAGGTGTACGGTGCTAGGCCCATTAGGAGATGGCTGGAGAGGAAAGTGGTCACTGAGCTGTCGAAGATGATTGTGCGAGAAGAAATTGATGACAACTCTGCAGTGTATATTGATGTAAATGCGACTAAAACTGATCTTGTCTACCGAATAGATAAGAACGGAGGGTTAGTGGATGAGAATGATAAGACAGAGCAAAATTCAGATATGGTGATTCTTTTTGCGAATAAGAAGAGAAAAAATGATGAATGTCTAACACATCATGAAGAAGTTAAAAGGTTGAAAAGCTTTTGAAGAGATTAAAAGTTGATCCAGATTGTTTTAGGCGCTGGTTTTTTGTTCTAGTTTTATATTATACTTTGCTGTCCATTATAAACTTGTATAATATTTAACTGTTTTATGATTTGATAGGATAACTTGTAAAGACAGAGTTTTGTGAAACTTATGGTGAGAAAACATAACATATAAAAATAGAATTCACAAAGAATTTGTAAATTTTACGGGGTGAAAAAGGTTTTGTAAAACATTAAAAAGGTATCGAAGACAAAAAAAAAGAAAAGAAAAAACTGAACTATAAATTGAGAAAACAACAACGTTTGAAAGAAATGGGCCACACAATAGGATCTCCTTTCTCCTAACATGAACCTTCCTTTGTTGATTACAAAGACAAATCAAAAACCAGAAATTTAACTGACTTCATTCAGGCCTAACAATTCCGGTCTCCACAACCGGTTAAAATGGTCGGTGGTGACCGGTGGCCAGAATGGTTTTGATAAGACCCGGAATTGCCCGAGACCCATCACAACTCTACAGACTCTTCTCTCTTGCCTAACTGAAACTACTCTAAACCACAATGTCTCTGTTCAAACTAACACACACACACACACACATTTTAACACAGCTTACATTTTCTTTTCTTCCTCTCTCTGTATTGTTTCCTTATACAATTTTGTAGTCAAAGGGCTCAGTGGTTGTGTCTTTAAGGTCTCCAATTAGTTATGGATGTCTCTGGGGCACACACTGCTTCAACCGTCAACCGTTTCAGCACATTAGGACACGGATCTTTCCCGAAATTGCTGTTGGATATCGTCACTGCACATCTCGCTTTCCCTACACACTTCTGCATATAACAAAACAGACACACCAAGGTTATAGTAACAAAGAGCGTGGTCGCAAATTTTATGTGTGTAAAAAGATTCAATCTTCTGTTACCCTCTCTAAGATAGCGTATGAGGTATCTGCATGACACTCTCCTTGTTGGTAGCTTCCGCATGTTCCTAAAGGAGTCCCGAAACTTGCGAATTTGATAGCCGAAATTGCTTGACCAGGACTACATTTCAAGTGAACCTTGGGTCTGTGAAATGTTTGTCCTTTTCCGTAGCTTTCGATTTGCCAGTTCTTGATATTCGGATGGTACTCAGAGACTTCAGCACAAACTCCGGATACAGATCTTTTGACCAAGGAGACGGTTGATGGGTTTCCACCAAGTTCCTCGAATATGACCAACAGATTTTGGCTCGGCTTTAACCATGATCTAGGCACATGGTACCATTTCTGTGTAGGCTGACCACAGCCGGATTGGCACTTGTTCGGTTTGTATGTTCCAGTGTAGCTACAGTGACCACAGTCACCAGTCGCAAATGCTGTCCAGTATCTCCCAATGCTCTCACCGTTCACCCAAATCTGACCTTTCCCCATACCTTCCATGTCTAAAGCAAGTGGCTCGTTTCCATCAGGAGCATCAAAATAAGTCTGAAAGACAAAGTTTACCCACTTAGTTCAGATTCTAAATTAAGAAAGAAAAAAAGAAGCTTTATCGAGTTGTATTTGATTCTCAATCAAACCTTGTGCCATGTCAAAGGCTGAGGCTTTTGTACAGTCAAGGACGCATCCATCCACCCCATAGAGGGAGTGTTGGATGGATATGCAAGATTCATAGCTTCACCCTTCAGCCCCACCTGATGTAAACAGAGAGTTAAACAACTTAATGCTAGAAATGTGGAAACCAAGAGAGTGAGAGAGATGACGAGAAAATGGGACTGATAAAGCACCTGATATGTCCACTTTTGCCATGACAAATCCCGTTTCCCTTGAGACAAGCCGTGCAATGCCACAGGACCCAAAATTCCAGTATTCCATGACTCAAAATGTCCACCCACATTCTTTAAAGTTGAAAAATTAAAGGGATCAGGATAAAGAGGAAAACGGAAAGAAAAAAAAAAAACTTGAGCAGTGGATGAGTAAAAGAATACTAACTGGTAATCCAACAGCAACACTCAGCAACGCAATTTTGTTAGTTCCAGAGTGTAGGTTGATCTTTCCCCTATAAGTGAATCTCCTGTTTTCCCTTGTTCCAAAGGCAGAGCCTGCAATACATATATTGAAGTTTGCATATCAGAAACTCTCTAAACGGAAGTTAATGGGGCAAACTATTGAAAGTATTATATACCCGAAAGTTGTCCGTTGACAAATATATGCACGGCATGGCCTGTAGATTGGATAATGAGAGTTGGTAGCTCTCCTCCATGCAAGAATGATTCACTTTCGCCAATATCAACACTACATACAGATTCCAAATGATGGTTAGCAAGTTGTGAGAATCACATTGAAGCTATGGAAAGTTTACATCGTATGAGGTGACAAATTGGTTTTCTTTTTCTTTTACCTAGTCATGTACCAAAGATAATCGCTTGTGTCACGCGTGACATTTATCTGCTCTAAGAGTCCTTGAGTGGTGAATGTGGAGCTGTCATCTAGAGAAGAAAGATCTTCCAAATAACTCTGCCACTGGAAGTTCCCTGTGCTTGTTGGCAACATTTCCATCTGTGATGTTTGAACTCCAACCTGATATCAAACAAGAGAATTTCACAGTTTTCAGAATTTTTACAAACTTAATTTGAAGAACCACAATTTCCCGAATTCAGAACAATGATATGAACTTACCTTTGCAGTATTGAAGACTGCGTTTCTACAGTCTGGAAGAATGCTGATAGACCAAGGAGGTAAGTTATAATGAACGTTGTTAAATAGTATTTTTGCTGCTGATTCTGTATCATAGTTTGCAAGGAAAGCTGAACAATCTCCTGATTCTGAAGAGTATACATGAGCCTGAGAGAATAAAGTTTAAAAAAGAGTGACAGATTTAGTAAAAACTAAAGAAAAATTCTACAGCTAAATCAAACCATATCTATCAAATTAAATCCATTCGAACCTGTTGCTTGTTTGTGAAAGATGTAACAACAAGATCAGCTGAAACCAGAGCTTTTTCACACATCTTGATAGCTCGGTGGAGCTCCTTGAGATGACCATATTTAGGTTGTCTGATTAAACCTATTTACCATTTAAAAATCACTCAATTAGTACATAAAGCATCGCATCAACCTTTATATTCCAATGAATGTCTAGGAAGTTTTCTTAGTTTTGTGCTCTTACCATATTCGTCGATTGGAGCATCATAATCATAGCTGGTGGTGACAAATGGACCTCCGGCTGTTCTTCCAAAGTTAGTTCCTCCATGATACTGTTCTCACGGAAACACAGAAAGATTGCCTTCAGGAAAACCAAATCTTAAACCGATGATTAGTTAAGTGGTTAACTCAACATACCATGTAGTAGTTAACAAAGGATCCTCCTTTTTGTATGAAACGTGCAACGGCAAAAGCCAGATCCTGAACTGGTCTATGGTGCATTGGCCCACCAAACTCAGTGAACCTATGTGATACATTTTACAATTCAAAGGATAAATATGATTTTTGAAATTTGAAGATTATATCCATGTACAGATATGAAGTACAAGTAAATGAGAGTTTGTACCATCCGCTCCATGCCTCTGTCCATATCGTAGGCTTGTATGGCTTGTTCGGAGCAAATGAGTCACAGTAGAAACCGTTGCATGTGTTAATCTGACACAAAAACACCAATGAGTTTCTATACCAAAGCAAACTAGTTATGAGTTGAGTCTTCAAAGACATTCAACTTATTACTAAGCTGATGCGGTCAAGAGACTCACCACAGGGTCAGGGGCATCGTCTTCTTTGCACATGACCCAGGGTACACCTGTCTTGGTTGCTATAGCCATTTTGGCAGCCCATGTCATGTAGTTGTGACCTTCAGCTCCCAATATCTGCCCTTGTCTTCCATACTCATTCTCAATCTACACATTCCAATAAAAGATGACACCTTTCTGTTAACTCACAAAGATCCTAAAAAGGACATAACTGCATGATCACTAATTCAGAGTATTAGTCTGTTCCACCAAAGTTTTTTTACCTGAGAAAGGATAATGGGACCACCCTGGGACTCAAACAAGTTCTCACTCTTCATCAGTTCCACTATTCTCTCTGTGAATCCTTTCATAGCTCTCTGCAACATTATCCCAATAACATTAATACCACAAGTTTCATAGCTTCTAATAAAGTAAATGCTTTTAAGATGACAATGGATAATTGAAACTCGAAAGAGAATTAAAAAAATAAAAGACCTTGAAAGGCTCATTATCAGTTCTGAAGCTGATTCCAGGAACATACTTCAGCCAAACAGGGAATCCTCTGGTCATTGCCAAAAAGAAAAAGAAAACAACTTTCGAGTTCAGAAACAGAATCTGTATATGTAAATCTAGAGGCAGCTGAATCTGGAAAAGACAAGACAAGGTCACAGGAGCTTTGGTAATTACCCGAAATTCCACTCGGCACAAACATAAGGTCCGATTCTGAGATGAGCATATAAACCAGCTTTGTGTATCGCCTTCACGAATCTCACCAAATCATTTCTCCCTTCGAAATCGTACTGAAGAGGAAAGTCGTCAAAAATTAAAGAACATAATGTAAAAAATGGGAACATGGTTGAAGAACACAAAACTATGACTGAGATTGAAAGAAAGTTACTTTTCCAGGAGATGGCTCATGGAGATTCCAGAAAACATAAGTCTCAATCACATCAATGCCTCCATCTTTCGCCTTCTGAATCAATCCTTCCCACATCTAACAACAACGAAAATTGAAAACTTTTTAAAAACCCAGAAACCTAAAACCCTTTTGATAATTAGAATGTATGAAACAGCCAAAAAATGAAAGAAATTTAGGGTCTTTCGTTAAAACCCAATTCCAAATCTTACATCGGGTGTGCTTCGAGGGTAATGTATGGAGCCAGAGAAGAGGATTCGTCTCTGTCCATTAATGAGAAGTGCTTTACGGTCGTAAGTAACGCCGCATTGAACAAATCCAACGCCTAGAATCAAAAACCCTAAGCAGAGCCAGAGAATAAGACGGGAAGCAGAA